GGGTGTGGGCAATTCGGACGACCAAGCTTGACCTCAAGCGTCGGGCCCGACACCGACGCGGACTGTGGCAGGACTTAGCTGACAGAGCCTTCCTCCAATGGGCTACTGGAGTTGACCATGCGGTATGCCTCCTGATTGAAAAGCACCTGCTACTCTATGAGCTGGTGGCGGCTGCGATTCAGTTTGCTACGTCGCGACTCAAACAGGGTATCAGGCAGGACAAAGCCCACTACCTCCGCAACCTGGCGGTGACGAATGGCACTGCCTTCAAGGATGTGGCGACTGTGGCCAAGAAAGCTGGCTTGGGAGGAAGAGCAGCGAGGACGCCCTGGAGACCAATGCCGACACTGAAGGATTCCACCGGAGCTGCAGCAGCCACACGTCAGGCAAAGGATGCAGTTTGGATGGAACACTTTGGACGGCAGGAGTGTGGACACATCATTCCCACCACGGAGCTGATACGAGGAGACTCTACCACGATCGCGATTGATGGCGATTGGGAGTGGAAGCTCTCGGACGTGCCCACTATCCTCGAGCTTGAAAACGCCCTTCGTCGGGCGCCGAGGAGGAAGGCCGTTGGACTGGACGGAATACCGGGAGAATTTCTCCTGGCGAATCCACCCGCCACAGCCAGAGCACTCTATGCTCTGACAGCAAAGGCGGCCCTACGCATGTGTCAACCACTTCACTGGAGAGGAGGAGTGCTTCAGGAGTGCTGGAAGCGCTCTGGATCGAAGGAGAATGTTGACAGCTACCGGTCACTCTATATCTCCTCGCTCCCGGCCAAGTGTGTTCACCGCATGCTTCGGGATAGAGCTGGACAGTGCATTGAGGAGGGCTTGCACAGTTTTCAGCTAGGGGCTCGCAAGCAAGCACCGGTGCTACTGCCTGCACTCTACATACAGGCATTCCTTCGATGGACCAAGCGCGTCAACCACAGCGTCGCGATTCTCTTTGTTGATTTCCAAAGCGCCTACTACAAGGTGGTCAGAGAACTGGCGGTTGGGGACATTGAACCTGAGAGTGACGAAGCTGTGGCAAAGATCTTCAAGACCTTCGGCCTTCCCCCGGAGGACGTTGCAAACCTCTACCAAACTATCCGAAGTGGAGGTATGCTGGCTGATGCCGGGCTCCCACCAGCACTTCGACATCAGGCTAAAGACATGCTCCACCGGTCGTGGTTTATCACGAGGCACGGAGGCAGCGAGCAGGTCAATGTCACCAGTGCTGGCTCCCGACCAGGGTCCAGCTGGGCAGACATCATCTATGCCTTTGTTCTGGGACGACTCTTGACCATCCTACGAGAACATGCTGCTGCAGAGGACTTGCTGACGACTCTGTCTGTTGACCTTGAAGGCGGCCCGATGGGAGACCCTCCGGATGGCGTGCCGATCGAGGCCCGGGACAGTGTATGGGCAGATGATTGTTCACTGCCCTTGAGTGATCCGGACCCGTTGAGGCTACTTTCCAAGGCGAGACGAGCGTGTGAACTATTGATCGAGTTCTCGCTGGCCCACGGTATGTCTCCCAATTTGAAGCCGAAGAAGACGGCCATCATTCTGGCCCTTAGGGGCAAGGGTGCCCACCAGGCCAGAAAGGCTGAATTTGCTGACGGTCGCAACGTTCTACGCCTACCTGAAATGGGATTGGAAGTACAGGTGGCCCCCTCTTACGTCCACCTTGGTGGCTTGGTCGAGCCGGAGGTGAAGATGGTTGCGGAGGCCCGACGGAGGCTTGGGATGGCCAAGACGGCTTTTGATGCCGGCCGGAACCTCCTCTACTGCAATACCACCATCCCCATTGAGACTCGGTCGGCGCTCTTCCGCATGTCCATTACGGCCACATGCTTTAACCTTGCTTTGTGGATTCCGAGTGGCAGGGCGTGGGAGATCCTTGATGGAGGATTCACCCGTATACTCAAAGGCCTCCTGGCGAAGACCTACAAGGGAGAGGAGTACCACAAGCTCGCGGCCCCAATGGTCCACATCTTGACCCAGACCCCGGACCTTGCCCTCCTTGCCAGGCGTGCCCGTCTCAGCCTACTCATCTCCCTCTGCCGAACTGCCCCTCCGGTCCTGTGGGCGGTACTGCAGAGCGAAAGGAGCTGGACTGACACAGTCATAGCCGACATGGAATGGCTTCGGACAGACAGCGAAGTTTGGCCTGCCACAGATCCGCAGCATTGGCCCGAATGGCACAACATCCTGACCAGATCCACGGCATGGGTCAAACGCCGGATTGCCAAAAAGGCGGCGGATGAGTACGACAAATTCTGCGAGGTCCAGCGGACTAACCTGGCCCTCTGGGGACTTTACCGCCAAGCCTGCAGGGCCTTTCCTCAAAAGGCCTGTGCTACTATGCCATGGGTGTGCAGGATGTGTGCCAAATCCATGAAGACGAAAGCGGCACTCGGTGCACACTTCTTCAAAGTGCATGGTCGGAAGGCAGCTTACCGCCAACATGGTGGAGGCACGATCTGCAGGTCCTGCAACCGCGACTACAGGTCCCGCACCAAGCTTATGGTGCACCTGCGGGACACTCCGAAGTGTGTGGCGGTCTTAGCTACGATGGAGCCGAATGCCACCCCTTTCATTCCTGGCTTGGGAAGCCGTGGCTGGAGGGAGGCGGCTGAGAAGGACTACACTCCAGCCTTGCCGGCCAGAGTTTCGGAGGCTCTCCCACCGGCTGGCGAGACAAAGTGGCCACCTGCGGTCCGTCGGGCATATGCAGATGTCTGCGAACACCTGCTTGTGAAGGAGGATGGTGTCAGTATGGAGGTATACCGGGATCGAGTACTACGTGTACTGGATGGCTACCCCCTCTACTTTGAGGAGGCCCTGGAGATCCTGGAGACCGTGGAAGCTGACCTGGTCACCATCTGCGACAACGATCTCAATGAGTACTGGACAACGTCCGGGCTGTCAAATCTCCGAGAATCGTTGAAAGAGATCACCCCGGATCTCTGGAGTGGGGGAATTGTCGAGCATGACGACCACCTGCCTCAGGAGTCACTTCGCTCCTTTGCGGCAAGGCTTGCCAGTTTGGACTGGAAGGACATCCTCCCCCCGAATTGCTACGAGACCCATGACGACAGCTCTGTACTCCTGGACGACGACTGGGAAGTCGCGTGGCGTCGATCCAGTGAGCTGCCCAAACGCGCGACCGTAGTTGATTACTGGAGATTGGTTCCTGGCCCCTTGCAGGTAGCATGGGACGAGCTTCTAAAAGGGAGGCGACCCCACGTACAGGCACCTGCGGCCTTCTGGGAACATCCACTCTCAAAGCCCTTTCTTTCATGTAGGGCACCGCTTGCACCTAATTAAGCCGCGTATCGACCTCTGAAAGCCCGCAACAACAATACATACATACATATATATATATATATGTATATATATATATATTATGTATATGTATGTGCCCTAAACGCAAACCCTAAATCAACTCCGCGACACTAATCGTTGAAATCTAGATTCAGAAGCCTAAACCTTCCACAGCAGCGATCAACTTCCAAGGGCTGCCGAGCATCTTGTACTCAGGCATCTCCTGCAATTTGGTGTTTGGTGATTCGGGCTAGGGTCTGGGGTTTAGGGTTTAGGGCCTTAGGATTCAGAAGTCTATTGGGAGTGGGGTTCATTCGGGGTCTGGAAGCGTAGTGAATTGGGGCTGGATATTTTTTGGGGTTTATGTGCGGGTAAGTTGCTCTTGCGGGGCTTTGCATGCACTACGATACGTTGCTTTCTTGCTGCAGGTCTATCACATCCATGCGTGCAGCTTTCGCCCTCGCTCCTGATATTTCTCTCGTCTCAATTGTTGATTACCTGTCTACCCCTTCGTCTCCCAATGCCTGCAATGGTGCCGACCTGATGCTCAGTGAAATCCACCAGAGAGCAGAAGACAAGACACCTACTATAGGGGCCTTGATACTTAGAATAGGGCCCATAATACTATAATTTTTGTTGTAAGGAGCCCCAAAAATAGTAGAGGTAATTATGAAGGCCCCAATATTAACCGCGCGAAGCCCAGCAAGGCGCCTCGTGAATGATGCCGAAGACGATGCCCATGGCTGCGAAGGCTGTGAGGCGGTTTTGGGCAGGGGAGGTCTATCTACTGCGTCGTGCTGCAAGCCGGTAACTGCGGAGGAACAGGTGATCAAAAGCAATGCTCCATCATGAGAAGCAAGTGCAGTTGACATATGTGACGGCAGTAGTAGTCATAGATGCAGCTGTGGTTCTGAAGCCTGACCCTGCGCCCTTCACCCACAAGTCCCACAAGCATCATCCCGGGAGGGTTGCAAGCTCAGCATCAACCGAGATGCACATGGAAGAAGCTTACCGAAACAAACAGCGAACCCACTGAAGCGACCCCCACTGTCTTGCAGCAATTCACTTCTCGGAGAGGGCGGAAGATACCTGAATCCTGAACCCACGTTACTGATGGGATTGAAGCAAAGCTTTTTGTCATTCCACTATGGGGCGTGCTCGGCTGCACATCCTTGGCTGAGGGCTCAGGGTATAGCTAACGGGGATTGAGGGCTTTGGGTTGTCGTGGCTACATCCATGCCTGAGGCTCCAAACAATAACCAGGTATCTTCAATCAAAAGAACATGCCTAAGTGGGATGCTTAAACGAAAAAGACCTGCCTCCGACCTCCACTCTTCTCGCACCTGCTTACTTGATCTTCCAAAATGTGGGCGTCGGCTCTTCAACTCGGACAGTCAAGCCGAGGCAGGTGTTTTGATAGTCACTGATAGTCAGGTTCCCGAAACTCACCCCTACCTACGCACATCGAAAACTAGACCGCAAAGCCCATAACAGGGACTCGCAGCTCAAATCCCTGACTGTTCTGGGGTCCCAAACTTAACATCATAAGGACCCTCAGGGGGGGCAGGGGGAGGGTGGGAGCCCTTAATATCCATGAAAAGGACTTAATAAAGCCGATCTAAGGAAGTATAGTCCCCAACCCCCCTCCCCCTACCCCCCTGAGGGTCTCTATGATAACAATCAAAAGCTGGCGCCGGGAATCCAGAGAAGAGGTCCGGTCGTCTCTACCCACACAAAGCCATCGCCCTTCGAGTCCAAGCAGTTGCTGGTGCTGATGAGGCCTCAGGAGGTTTAGGGTCAAAAAAAACTTCTTTTTCCAGGGGGCAACAGTTTGCTGCATCCTAGAAGGCCAGCAGGCCAGGAGAGATGGCCAACTTGCGGGCACATCACGGGTTTAGGGTTCAGGGTATAAGGGTTTAGCGAAAACAAAGCTGGCCCCTGTGAGCCCGACAACTTACTACCCATCTCTGAACCTTGAACCTTATAGCGCTAAACAAACTCGAGCAGCCTCATGCCAAAAACTCAAGCGACTTTGGCAACAACGCTGCAAACCACCAAAGCCTGCCTTCCTGACCGTCTGACCCCAAGTAAACAGAATCATGGAAAGTCTATCCGGAGCATGCGGGCTGCAACGTCTTCGGCTTAGGGAAACCCCGGACCAAACCCCCAAAACCCTTTTGCAAAATTGCGACCCTAAGACCCTCTCTCTCTCTCTCTCTCTCTCTCTCACAGGCACTCGAAGCGTCAGGCCTGGTCGAAGGGCAACATCTGTGCCACCCGTGACCCTAAACCCCAAAACTCCTACACCCCAACAACACCCGAAACCCTAAATCTCTAAACCAAAACCTCAAACCCCTGGACCCTAAAACCCCTAAAGCCCAAAACCCTAAAGCCCAAAGCGCCCTAAAGCCTGAACCCGGAGTCGAAGCTGAGGCGAGGAACCGCCCCACTCCAGATCTGCATCCTCTGCACCGCGCAGCATACTTCTCTATAGTTGTTTTGGGTTAAAGTTTGTGTAAGTGTTAAGACTGTTAAGAGTTTAGCACTCGGAAAGGGTGGTATTCATTGTTGTATTGCCAGGCTTTATGAAGAGTTGCTTGAGGATTCTTTGAAGTTTTTTGGGTTCTTACGGTGTTACATGAAACTATGGGGTGCTATAGACGAATAAGGCTTCTGTCGGTGCTCATGATGGCGATTTTTATGGGCTGCAGAAGGGTGCAATAGGGGTTTCATTGTCGGGTGTCCAAAGAACTGACAAGGGGCTTCAGGAGTTTTATTCTAAGGTGCTGTCTGGATTCACAAGGGTTCCACGAGGGCTTATCAGGGTCTTGTACAAAGGGACTTACACGGGTTCGTAAAGGGATAAAAAAATATCAGTGTCCTATGAACTGGTGGATATAGGGATTTGCACATTTGTCTCTATGCAGGGGCTAAGGAGCCAACTGGTCGGATGTGGGCAACCGTGCTTTGAGGAATTGCTTTGATTTGTAGTTCGGGGGGTTGCAAGCAAACCTGAGTCGCGTGCAAACCCTACATTTCTTGACACATGGGATCCTTCCTATCGGGCCTCACATCTGAGGACACCTGGCTTCAAGAACAGCCCATTGAAAAACTGAGCTTCAGCCCGAACCAGGAAGCCCGGACAAGCCAACAAAAAGTGCATGTTACTTCTGAAAGGACCACTGTTTGAGGATGCTTTAACTGGCGCTCCTCCACATCCCAATGCAAGCCTTTTGTCGATGCCTTGACCTCATGCCAGCAGGCGCCGTCACTGGTTGAAAAGGGTTTACTTAGAGGTTCAGAGGACGGAGTGATTAAGGATAGGGTTGTAAGTTTTTTCGGGGTTTGTAAGTTGTTTCCCTGATTCTCCAAGTAGGCTAAGGGCTCAGGGCAAGTATGGCTGAAATAGTGCGGGTATAGGGCTTCGAATAAGCATTTAGAAACCTCTCACATGACCAATCTGGGGCATAGACGTCAATCGCTGCCCATGATGTAGCATGCAGCAGGAAGTTAAGGAAATGCAGTCAGATGTGGACGGCGCCGCAACCTTACACCCTGCGCTCTAAGCCCACTCCCGTTTCGGGGAAAACCCTCAATTGCAAAAAAAACAGCGAATACATATTAGCTCCATCGCCATGGTGCAGGGCCGCCCAGCGGAACCTCAGCATCAGGACCCGGGCAAAGCCCCTTCTGTCTGAACCCATTTGAAGTCGTACGAGAGACAATGGGTAACATCAGCAGGACATAGCCAAAAACGACCACCAAAAACAGCCCGGCGCCTCGCTTGAGAGCTTGTTGGGCCGTAATCACCTATAGCCCTCGACACCTGAAGCCATGAAGCCCTAGATCAATAGATCCCATGTCTCTAAATACCTAAAGTCCTGACCTCTATAGAAACCAAGTAGATCCCGCCATGAACCTACGAACAGCAGTCTAAAACCCTTTTAACCTCACATGATCCTTTAAAATCCTGTACAAACACCCTCAACCCTATCTATCTATATATATATATATATATAAACTCTAGACCCCTGAAACCTAAAGACAGCCTCTCCTCCGAGGGGCGAGGCCGCAGCTGCTGGGAGGCGCGGCGAAACCACCGAGCCGGTGGCGGCCCTGCAACTTTGCTGCAAAGGAAGGGAGGCCAAAAGGGGGGTTTAGGGTTTAGGGTTTAGGGTTTAGGTTTCAGATTCTTGGGGTAGGGATGCCTTAATATGAACCCTATTACGGGAACCCTAATCGCCTCCTATGAGCAAAGGAGGAGTCTGTTTCAGCACTCGCAACCGGGACAAGCCTGGCGCGCTTTTTTTCTTTAGGAGTTCGGGGCTTAAGGTTTATTTAGGGTGTGCGATTTATGTAGGGTTTGCCGCGGGATAGCGTGTAGGCGGATGCGCTTGCGGCAAGTGCAAAGATCGCAACTTCGTTGAGGGAAGCATGAACATTAAGACATCGCTACAACGAGAGTGAACTCCCAAGCCCACTTCCCGAGCAACCTCACGAAGCAGGGCGCAAATGCAGTCGTCACCTGCAGGCACTCCGGGATTACTTAGAGGATCAGGGACTTGGTAAAGTAGGGTTATACAAGGTATCTGTTCTTATATCTACTCATAGCCGTCGTTGCCTTAATTCAGGTACTTGCAACCCGACTGACTAAGTCCCATGATCCTCCAAGCAGGGCTTGTAGGGTTGAAGCATCAGGGGTTTGGGGTTTCCAGGGGTTGACTCTGGGTCGGAGCACAAGAGTTCATGTATGGTTTGATACTTACATGGGCAATCCCTTGGACAGGCTGCATGCAAGTATAAGGACCATGAGACGAGTTCGGTGTTTCGGCTGCAAAACTTCATCAGATTCAATGCATCGGTACTGCAACGACAGCAACTACTAGGAGTGGCTTCTGTTGCTTGCTGAGATTTCGAGAGAACGTGGGCCCTAATTGACGCCAAAAGCTGCTTGTCTCATTCTGCATATGGGTGATTGTCAAAACTATGGTCCCTTTTGGGGTCCCTATTATTCACGGACATCTGTCGGGGTCCCTATTATAATACGTAACCTAATATTTAGGGTACCCAAAAAGGGACCGTAATTTTGACAACCACCCATATCATGACCGTTCAGATAGGTCGTCAGTCTGGAGCTCAGGTACGAATTTGGCCTCGGGTTTGGGGGCCAAGGGTCTCTGTTCCAAGCATCCAAGCCAGGCTCTTGAACTGAGGAACGAAGTGCTACATGTCGACTTCAACAGTCCCCAAACGTATTCATGATCGGGACTCTATATTGAACTCTAAGGGTAAATATATACGTTATTCCACATCGATAGCTAGAATAGTATCACTGCGACTCCTGGAGCCTTTGGCTCGTGACTGACTGAGGGCGGTCTGGCTTAGTGCAGGCTTTAGGGTTAACGATTGTGCGGTCCGGGGTCTTTCGAAGCATGTCGGAGAGGTGGGCGGGGAGTGGTTATTACGGCGTGACACCAGACGCGGACATCTGAAAGGAAGCACGCCGTCCGTGCAGCCGGAAACCTCTAGTATGGTTTCTGGGGCCCATTCTACTATAAGTACAATAAAGAACCCCGAAAATAGTATAGGTAATTTCTTACTAAGTTACTACGGCCGTTATATTACACCCAAACCGACTCATGAGTCCTGAAACCAACCTAAAGGCCCCAACAACAACCCGATAATGCAAGCTGAGACCCGGGCTGACCATGGCTACGCAGATGTCCTGGGGAGGGTACCCAGAGAGCCCAACAGCCCTTAATTAAGGAATATGGCTTAAACTATATAGGGCTTCATTTTATGATTTAAGCTATATTCCGATTATACTCTCAAACCCCAAAGCGCAAAAAACCCTTTTGAATCTGGAACTGCCCTACACTAAACTCTTAACCCTACAGCCCTATTTAAAAGCATAAAACCCTAACTCCTAAACACAACAAGCCAAACCAATAACCCAAATCATGACCACCGGGGTGACTTGGAAAGCGAGATCAGAAACAGCGGCGCAGCCCGGTTCATCAACGTGTGGGGTTTAGGGAGAAGCCCATAAACTAGAACGGGCATGAAGTCAGCGACCAAACATGGCTTTGGGATAGCATCTCCTGCAATGGCGGTTGAGGCTTTGGGACCTGCACAGAAGGTTGAAGGCATCGGGTAGTACAAACACTAGTCTTGGCTTTGAAGTGGCCAGGGAGAAAGAAGTATAGACTTTCATTTCATAATGGTTCCCTTGAAGTAACAGGTCCCAAAAAATATTAAAGTATGGTACTCCAAAGCCCAGTAGTTCTAAACATCGTAATGGGAACGACACTCGTCCTGGACATGCGCCGCTTTGTGCATGGCATTCATCGCCGCGAAGGTGTGGTCCAAGCGCCCCTCGACACCTGGGATTGTCGGTAATGAGCTGCAGTCGAAACAAGCATCTCAATAGAACTGTTAAGTGCTGTCGATGGGACTTTCAAGGACTGCTCCCTGCAACTTCTTCCCAACGGCTTCGCCAGACCGCAACATTCCCGGCGACGGAAAGCTCTTCAAGTTGATTTGGGTTACATTGAACCCGCCATCGTATGCAGCATAGGCTCCGGCAAACTGTCCCACGACGCAAACGCGTTCACAGCCAGCTTCCTCCCACCACAGGAGCTTATCCGAAGTCTCCACAAGACTTTCGTAGGATTTGCGCAGGACAAGTTTGGACAGGGAAAAGCTTTTTCAACTGATGTGGTCGTGCTGCTGCAACCTGAACCCATGTTTGGCACGGCTCATACACACAAGCAAAGCGATGCCTTGTGCCTGGCCTGCAGACCCTACACTAAAAAACCCAACCCCGAAGAGTTCGATGAACTCAACTCGCACATCGCAAACTGAAAAGACGAGCGCTGATAGCCTTCGCTGCTTGGAGGCACTTTTCCAGGTCGGTGCTGTCTTGATCGTGTGACAAGTCTCGAACCTCAACCCCCTTCTCTCCTCGGCCGCAGGTTCACGGGGTTATGATTGTTTGGGATTTCCGGTCTAGGGCCAGTCGTCGGATAAGAACGCCTCTGCGGCTCGCTTTTCCAGGGCAGTGCAAGTTGAACTTGCCAACCAAGCTCCGGCATTTGTTGGAGTTGACTTAACTCCGGGCTTCAAGGTGGGCTTTACGTGTAACGGTCAGGGTTTAGGCCACAAGTGAACGACTGCAATGCTTTGCTGGCACCAGTAACGACCACAGGCACGCTTAAGCCACAAGGCGTGACACCAAAGCTCAACACCCTGGGCACATACTCTCCAAAGCCACACTTCTAAGCCCGAAGCTCCCAACCCCATGTCCTGCAACAAAACGGGTCTCTGTTGTTCAACATGGAAACAACCAATAATACCAACCTCTTAACAAGATCGGGACTCGAATCGCTACTCGAGTCGAATCGGTCGACCCGGTAGCGGTAAGGTGTCAGTCGCTTACGCGATCCACCAACACAGCGGATTTCGGTCGGGTCATAACCCAGTGCGATTGCATCGGGGATCGGAAGCGAATACTTTGATAATTCTTCAGATTCCCACGCTATCAAGCGTGCTGTCAAGGAGCGATAGGCCTGAAGAACTGCTTCCGGCGCAGAATCGAAGTCTCCAACGATCCTGGCGTTCGACTTTCCATCGCGAGTCTCCCGGAATGAACGGACCAGTGCATCACATCTGTGCTTAATCGGCGGTGCACGACGGTCTGCTGCATGCATAATTTGTGCATGTATGTATGTATGCATCTATGGATGTATGTGTTTGTGTGTGTGTGTGGGGGGGTGTATGTGCGCGTGTATCTATGCATGTATGTATGTGTGTATGTATGCAACTAACTGTACATGTAAATGCAGATTCGACGTAGGTGCAAAGGTAAATACAGACTTATATCTGTAAGTGTACGTGCGTGTGTGTGTGTGTGTGCAGAACCCTGAACACTGCCGTAGATTATTCAAACTGTCCTAAATTTCCGTCAATTGCCCAAAAACCCCTAGCCCAAATTCCGCTAAACCCTAAGTTAACCAAAACCCCCAACTGTGAAGCGCAGCCGTGGCTCAGTTCGGGTAGAAGCTCCGGCGCCGTGACCTGCAGAACCTTGGCACCTGGTCGTCGCGGCTTCCGTCCGTTTTTGAGGGTGTGCGGGATGGGTGGTCTTGAGGTTTATATAGGGCTTTCGTCTTTCTTTTTGTTGAGGAGGGCTGGGGAGGGTGGGGGAGGGGGCCCTAAATGCTAAATTGTTGAGGGGGCGGGGGAAGAAGGGCGGCTGGGAGGGTGGTTTTGAGGTTCAACGCTTCGGGTTGTTGTTTTGGATGTTGGTGGGCGATTGAGGGTTCGAGCGCACGCAACCAAGCCAGGATTTGGGAACGTGGGTGTCGGGTCTCGGGGTAGTAAGGCTGCTGGCTTTGGGTTGCGAGCTCGGCATCAAGATGTGGGATCCAGGTCTGCGGGCTGAGGGTCAAAACCTTCAATTGCTTCCCCGTGACAACCGATATAAGAAGAGCCTAAGTAACCACTAACTAATGTCCCTGTCAACTAGAATTAGGCCCCATAGTTGGCCCTCAACTAGACCGGTGATTTACTAAATCCGTCTAGTGAGGACGTTTCTAGATCCTCAGATTAAGGCTTTCAAACGAAACAGGCTTTGTTTAGTCGCAGGCCCACCCCATTGCATTGAGTTCCCCACTTCAACCTGTGTCTTGTTAATGCATGTAACTCAAGTTACCATAATAAGGAAACCATGTGATTTACTATAGATCCCTACTGTAGTAATTAACCTTCCTCAGTTACAGTCCTTAACAAGAACCCAGAGCTGCTGGGGGGGGCCTCCATCTGCCACAATGTGCCTCCCAGTCATGGACCATGTAGCATTCAGCAGTTCCCGCGACATGGGGGTGCTGAGAAGAACCAGGCCGAACTTGTCCTTGGCCGGTTCAGTTTTTGTTTGAACTCCTTGTCTCCAGAGGCACCGGTTAAGGGCTTGGGGTTTAGGGTGGCTGGCAGCTCACTGGGGTTTAGGGTTCGCAGAAAGTCTGCCATGCGCAGGTTCATGTGCGAAGGCTTTAGCCAAAACAAACTAACGTTGGAAGCCGCACCGTTCTGAAGGTCTGAGCCCTTCCTGCGCCGGAGGGCCACCTCAAAGCACGAAGTAGGCCAGAATCCCGGATCCCCTGTGGATCTCCAAACCTGAAGCCCGGAACGCTTCAGAAACAATCCATAGTCATGACGGCATGAAGCGCCCTAACCACCAAAACTAGAGTGGTGCGAGTCATCACCAATGTAACACTGAGGTTCACAACAGTAGCAATGGTGTCAGAAACAAGAAGACTCATGAGCAAAACTCACCCATCGAAAGCTTAGCCTGGCAGCCGCCACTGTGCCCAAACCGACGCCTTCTTCGCCGTGTCGCCAGGGCAGGGCCGTCCACGTCCAGTCGATAAATATTGAATCTTTGGGGGCCTTCGGGAGGATTGTTGGGGCTTGTTTGGGTGTGGTGGTTTTTGGGTTTTGGGTTTCCACTCTCACTCTCGCACAAAGCCGGGTTTTTGGTTGGGTGTTGTATATTTGGAGGAACTGCACAGGCTGTCACAGGCTCAAGTGACAAAGGCGTATAGGGTTCTGGACGCAGCCGAGGCATGCAACTTCGGGTGAATCAGGGTGTAGGGTTATCGGATTTGTGGGCTCCAGGGTTCAGAGGTTGCGCTGAAGGGCTCAGCTTCACAAAACTGCTGCGAACATGTATTGGTTCCGAAAGCGCCGTTGGCAGGCGCGGTCTTGGAGACAAACCTGAAGCTCTGAACCCCAAAAACCCTCAAGCCCGTTTCAATCCCGAGTATTCTAGATAGTCATACACATCCTGAACCCGACACCTCACCTTGATTTAGCAGAGCCTTGAGTCTGGAAACAGTAACCAAGTCCGCGGCCTTAGGGTTTGAGGGTTTTGTAGCACTCGGTAGATCCGTGTCGGGTTCAGCGTTCCCGGATTTAGGGTCAAAGCCTTCAGCGTTTGGGCAGGGCAACCCTTTCAGCACAAGGGGTGCCGGCCAGCGCAAACAACCGTGAACCCTAAAGCCAAATGTAGTTCATCCACAAGTGATTCGCTTCTGGCTTGTCCTATATGCCTGCTTGCATAAACCCAAAACTTTAAACCCTAGAGCCTAAACCCCTAAAACCAAAACCCCCAAACCTAAACCCCTAAACCCTACAAAGCCAAAGTTAGGTTTCTACAAGGGGCTGTGAGGGTCAGACCCCTGCCTCGACTACTCTTGTTGGAAGCAGAAAACCTTACTGACTGCTAGAGGCCCTCCTATGATACAAACAATAACGACAGTAGTAATAGCAATACGAATGGTAAGAATGATAGTCATGAACTAATATCAAAAGTAGACTTGTGTAATGATCGCATGCACCAAACCCATCCCGACCCTGCCTAAACCCAACACAGCTGGGAACAAACCCTAAACCCTAAACCAGTCATCCGACAAAGCAAACCCGCAGCCTTCCCAAAGCAACAGGCTTCCTTTGTTCGGGGTTGCGGCCACAGGTCTAACATAGAGGCCTGAATAACAACTACAGTATAAGAAAAAATCTGAGCAGCGGCGTGTGCCTTCTCGGCCATAGTCGCCCAGCGCACCTGCAGTGCCGAGCCGAAGCCACGAGGAACGCCGCGCACTCTCCTCCAGACATACGGATTACTGTTCTGCTTGTAACTGAGGGTTTAGGTAGAATATGTCTGGCGGACGGCTTTGGTTTTAAAGCTCCTTCGACCCAATGCCGTTTCGTCTGCATCAGGAATGCCGGATATACTGCTGTCGTGCCTCGGCCTCACAGTCTCCTGCTCTTAAGCCCAGACGCCTCACCTATAGTCTCCATTGTAGTTCCCTGTTTGGGTTACCTTATAGGACCCAAAGGAACTCAGTGACGGAGACTATAGGTAGACGCGCAGCCTTCAACAGCAGGTGCTGGGTTCGGTCGGGGTGGTACTGCGTCTTCCGTTGGCCAAAAGGGAATCAGGCCGAGTCGGAAGCACAAGATGAGATTTTAGACAGATGGTCTTGCGACCAAGTTTAGGGTGCAGGTTTCTTCTAATTAATGAGAGAAGCTGTAGTTGATTCTCGAATAACTCTAGCAAAGATTCGCAAAGATAAGCTGGTCAGGGGAGAGGGGTGCAGAAGTAACTTCAGGCCTTGAGGCGCGCAAGAGCTGCGGTATCTTCGACATGTTGGCACTCACAAACCCTTCTGACTTGGACTCCGGCAGCTGACATCTCCCCAGACCCTAAACCGCAAAACGCGAGGTCAACGACCGACGAGCCCAAGCGAGTGTTGCAGGGCTCATGTCTAAGATCCAAATAATACCTCTCAATTTGGGAATATGTAATTCTTAAGTTTAACATGGATTCTTAATGTTATGATTTATGTAAGGTGAATTCCTTACTTGCTTAATCTAGCGGTATTGGGCTCTCCCCATACCCGAGACCGACCTTCAATCTGCGACCAGCTGAAGGTTCAGAGTTCAGGATCTACCTTGGTTTAGGGTTATGGGTTCTACCTCTAGGCTCCAATTTAGTTCCCTTGTTAATTAACCTGTTGTATATTGTATACTTACGACCCCATAATCAGGTAACCCAAAAAGGAACTACAAAGGAGACTACAGGTAGTACGAGCTCTGACATTGCAACTGATGTCGAAAACGTGCCGAATTTTCGCATGAAGATTCTCTCTCAAGCCAACCAGCCGGCAATCTTGAACCCCTAGCAGGACTGCAAGTCTGTGCTCCTCCAACAACGTCCCTGGCGTTGAAGCAAAGTGGCCATTCCCGAACGCCGGTTCCAGGCTTGAGCACAGCATGCCGGCAGCACAGATAGTATGCGCCTGAATGTGACTGCAAGAATACAACTTCGTTTCGCTGGTATCTGTTCGTGTTGCGGGTCAACTCCTCTCGGCTGCACCACCACCACCAACAAACAAACAAGAACACGAAACCGGCGTACTATACCGCAGCAGGGGCGGTGAATGTAGTATCGAGTAGTAAGTCACAAAGGTTCGGAGCAGGTGCATAAACATGCGTCGTCATCGCCATAACATTAACACCAGTAGGACTATGACGAGCATGAGCAAGAGTAGTCATGGAGTCATGGTTGCATTAAGAGAGCAGCAGGAATGACAACACTTTCAAGAAGTCTTGCGGATGACCCACGGGCAGCTCTGCCTTGCTTAGTAGCAGAAGCCAATGGACATTGAGTTGAAGATTCCAGGCAAGAAAATGCTAATGAATGCACGAAAGCTTACCAAGCTGGCAAGGTCTCGCCGTCGTCCTTCTGCGACACCTCGACAGGCGCGGTACTCTGTGAAGCCGCCTTGTTTGTAGAGCTTCGAGTGGTGGACGCCTGGAGAATTGACACGCTGGCTGGGTCCCCCTCATGGTGATCTCGTATCCGAGGCAACTGGCTGCTTTAGCTAGGACACCAGCCACACGATCTTCCGACCCGGTTGATGAAGGCATGATGCTTAGAGACTGTCTATATCGTCAGCAATCAGCAAGGGATCGACTATTTGGGCACTGAGTCGCGGGGGCGTCGGCGGGGATTTCAACGTTTGCAAGGTTGCACTGAAAGGTCTGCGTAGGCATCCAACAGGATGCCGCAATAGTTGTCGGCTTGGCTGTGAGCGCGGGATGCAAGCATGCAATTCCAACTTGGTGAAACATCCTCAGTCTTTTCATAAATACTCTTACAGCGTGTCACCAAACAAGGATCACACCAAGCAACCACAACCTATCGGACTTTCAAACCGCGCAAACTAAATCTTGGACACCCCCAGCCCGCAAGCTCAGAAGTCTGTACCGCTAACCCACAAACCTTGCCTAAACTGGCCGAACATAAGGGCCTTAATAATTAGAATAGGGTTTTGGGGGGCAGCATACTATACTTATACTAAGGAAACCCCAAAATAGTACAGTATAGGTAAGTAAACCCTTTCCGCTCTCCTGCGGTGCCGGCGTAGAAGGCGCTGCAGCAGCTGGAGCTTTGTTGCTGCTTGGGCTGGGGCCGGCTGCAGCCTGTACAGAGAGCCCAATACCCCTTAATTGAGGAGTATAGCTTGACTCATAATATGAAGCCCTATATAATTTCAGCCATATTCCTTGATTAAGGGACATTGGGCTCTCTGGGTATGCAAACACTCAGACACAACCCTTATGATGAGCTTGAAAGGAGGATTTCGGTTTTTTGGGGTTATGTTGCGCTTGGGGTTTAAGGTCCCAGAGCCTCCAAAACCCCTTAATTAGGGAATATACCTTAAATCATTTTAGGGATCCTGCTATAATTTAAAGTATATTCCTTAATTAAGTGATATTGGAGTCTCTGGGTTCTGCCGGGATTCAGAGTCTGGCTTCGAGGTTTCGCTTCCCTGCAGGTCAGAGTGGGGATGAACTGTACTTAAAGGATCAGGGGACTTAGTAAGTAGGGTTCCTTAATGGGCTCCTTAAAGGGATCTATAGGGTTTAGGGTTTAGGGTCTACTTATAGGATCAGGGGACTTAGTAAGTAGGGTTATAACTAAGGTAACTATAGTTATATCTACTTATAACCTTAATTAAGATTCTCATAACCCTACTTACTGAGTCCCATGATCCTTCAAGTAAGGTCGCTTAGGGTTCGGGGGATCTGGAGGAAGTCTGGGGATTTAAGCCTCAAGGTTAAGGGATTTCGGTCAGTTAGACCAGTGTTCTAGGCGTATTCAGGAGATGCCTGACCTGTGTCGAGTCGGGGTGACCCCTTAAATGCTGATACCCTTAATCCGCAATGCTGACACGAAACTCTAAATGACACTCTGAGACCCTCAAAGCGTAAGCCCTGCTGCTTTGCTGGATCCACATCCAGAGACTGAGTAAGCCCTACTGCAAGTTTCGGACTTCAAACGGAACCCGCGAGCCAATGAAAACAAATCCTTTTTCGGACCCTGCTGCAGGTTCTATGCTAGTTCAAGGAGAGCCGCCACCACGCCTTGTGGCTCTTCCGTCTTTTAGTAATGTGATGAGCAGGCAACCGATACTGAACGACATGAGCCAAAGCAGCTTCTCAAAGACTCCGATATGCCCTGATTACGGAATATACCTTGAACTATAGTAGGACCCCTAATATAAACTATAAGGCATATTCCGTAGTTAAGGGATATTGGAGTCTCTGGCTTCGGGCTGTGGGGCATCCTTTGCTGGCCAAACTGCAGCTGAAGCCCAAGGACACACATCGAAAGCACGTAGTGTAGGAACCTGATTAAGAAACCCTGGGGTTCCTTATATGAATCCTACTACTTTGGGTATAGGCCCAGGGTTCTTAATCAGTTTCCTACATTAGGCCCAACAGCGGCAGATCCACATATTCCAACCCCAAGCCCTCGTAAAACCAAGAAGGAAATCCTCGACTCAAATGCACCAGCAGCACGGAGCACTGCCTGCGTTTGCTTCTTGCCCGTGTTCTTCTTTGTCGACACCTGTGTACATGAGCTCTCCAACAGTTGCGTCTGCATCTGTACACATGCATGTGTACATGCGCCGTGAACATCCCACACATTGCAGGCAGGTTTGCTCGCTCGGTCCGCACACTCATGCATACATGCATACATGCATGTGCGCGTGCCTCCGTTCGCCATCTGCATGCTTTTGGCAACCGTCAACATTCAGAGTTGCGGAAATCAAAGATATACCGACTCGCTTTGGGATTCTGACGATGCAGTGAGTCAAGAGAACAAACCAGGCTCAGATCGGACTTACAACCGACATGATAGAATAAATCGAAGTCCGAATGTGGCAGGGGGCACCAGTGTGCCAAACCCTTTGTTGCATCGGGCTTGCGCAGTCTCGCCGGCAATCGGCGCGCCAAACTCTAAACCCTGCACCCTGAACTCTGTGTAACCCTACCTTCAGGGAAAGGAGCCCCAAGATGCAGTTCACTTAGTCTGAGGGTTCCGGCAAGCCCTGAATCCTGGACTCTAAACCCTCAGCGCCTGAACTTAAACCCTTGCACCCTTACTTAAGCCAACAAAAACCTTCACCCTGAATTTCGAACCCCAAGCCTAAACAGAACACACTGAACCCCGTACTTACGTACTCGTTGCCGTCTGCTGCAGAGCCTCACACCTATCGCCAGAGCAATCACGCACAAACTCATTCAGATTCATGCTTGTTTGAAGGCGCGGCTACGGGAAGTGTTTAAGGGGCTTACGGCTTAAGGATTGTGTTTGTTTGCTGAACTGAACCAGCCAGTTCCTCTCGGCAGCACGCCTGCATCCACGGGTCGCCGCTGTCCCAGGGGTCCGGTCCAGCCTGGAAGAAAAAGCAGAAAATTATGCATTCAGATATGCGAAAAGGAGTACTTGAAATTAAGATCTCCTCGACCCACCTACCAATCCGAGGGCGAGCCCCTGCAAGGCATCCTGACCATTCCTGACCTAGAGCAGTCCACCTAGTCTGCGTCATAGAACCTCTGCCCTTAGAAGCGCTAATGTCGGGGCCTTAATGATTAGAATCGGATCTTGGGGGTTTCCTGATAACAATTATGGTATACCCCAAAACCCTACTCTAATTATTAAGGCCCCAATACTATTGCTTCGGCTCGTAAAGATTGAAGGAGTGCGGTCTCCAAGAAGCAATTTCTCACGTAAGCCGATCGTATGTTTTGCAGTGCTGGCGCGGAGTGCGGCATAGGGTTTATAGTGTTTGATAAAGCTTAGAAGATCCCACAACCCTAAACCCTGAACGGTCCCGAAGGGTTATGCAGGGTTACATTGGGCTTTCAAGTTTGGACATGCCACAGCGAAGCCAGGCGGATCGTCTATCTTTTTACATATACATTGAGGTTTAGGGTTCAGGGTGTACTGTAAGGAACCAGATGGTACTAACGGGGTCTGACAAAGACACTGTAAGGGTTCTACACGAGTTACATATCCAAGGAGAGAGGCTTTTCAGTATGCATTCTGCACGACTTTGCCGGATGCTCCGAGGGAGTGCATCGCAGATTCACTGCTCCACTGGCTCAATTCGAGACATGACAAACGATAGTTGTTGGCTGTAGGGCTAGGGTTTAAAAGGGTTTAGGGTTTCGGGGATACGGTACTAGTACGCTGAGACCCTATAAGACCTAACAACCAGTGGAGCTGGACCCTAAGGCTCTTTGTCAAAGTCAAAGTACTCCCTAAACAACACTGCAAGGTATTAACCACAAAGCCTGCGTAAACCATGTCAACCCTATACAACATAGCCCCTTAACCGGGTCTACAGTATTGACAACCCTAAATGTATAGACTCCTCAGCCTGAGGTTTTTCGCCTTACCGGTGCACCCCGGGACAAAAAAAAGCGATAACATTTACAAAGTTACCGTCCAGACCCAACGTCCTCGAGCGAAAGCCTGCCTTTGTTTGGGATCTCTCTCTCTCTTTCTGCCGTTGCATCTGCCTTTGGAATCCTTGTACCTCAATTTCAATTTCCCTCAATTTTCTGATCTTAACCTTATCTGAACAACCCTCTCCATCCTGTATTGAACCCAAATAAGGCTCCGAAACAGAACTCATCGAACTGCCTGGGCTGCCGAGGCTTTCGGCGGGGGCGTAGACGGATCCTTCGGGCCTGGGCACGAACGTCAGTTTCAGCATTACCGAAACCCCAAAAAAGTAAGTCAACTAACGGCCCAACCCCTATAAAAAGGCTATTATTCTACATACCAAAGTAAGTCAAATAAGGGCCCAACCCCTATAAAAAGGCTATTCTTCTACATACCTTTGGGGTGCAGGTAGTGTTTAAGTGGCAGGTTTGGGTGCTCAGGGGTTTTAGGGCTTCTGTTTGCCTCCGTTTACAGTAAACCCTATAAAGTTGGAAACCGGATTAAGGCCAAATAGTGCTGGGATTCCCTATACATTACTCTTACGGATCGAGGCTATAGGGTTTCCAACTCTTGGGCTTCTACTGTAGGCTTTCAGGGTTGCGAGGATTCGGTTTTTCAGACTTGAACTCCAGCGCCGTGGGCACAAATCCGGTGAGTCAGGGCTGAGGATTCGGGGCCGAGGTTTGGAAGCCTCAGCGTTTACGGCCGAGTTTGAGGGTGGAGGACAGTACTTTTGGCCTGGCATCCAAGATGTTCGTTTGGTTTCCTCGCGCATCTGCTGTGACATGACTTCGAACACGAAATCCCAAAACGAACATTCTTCCAAAGAAACCCAAAACGACCCGATCTCTCCTACAGCCCCTGCGAAACCCTTCCAGCATCTGCACAGTATATACTCCGGCCTTTTTGTACCTCTGTAGGAGTCCCTTGAAGGCAAAAACATAAAACGAAATGAACTCTTTTTTATCAGGTCTCTATAGGGCTTAGGGGTTTGGGGATGGTTTGGGGTTTCGGTATAGGGTTGTTTGCCCGAACATACGCTGTCTAGGGCTTCAAGGTTGAAAGCCGAGTACATGGACGTTCTGCTAAGTTTCTAATTCTAACTATGTGATGCAATCAGAGCTGTTCTCTCTCGCACGCAGCCTCTAAGTGATTGTAGATAAGATATCCGAAGCCACACTTTGCAAGGAAAGGCTTGTGGTCTTTGGGTCAGGGCCTTTCGGCGGTGGGTATGCACCGGCTTGTGTTTGTACGTCGTGCAGCATAAGCGAAGGTGGGTGGCTGCAGATACGGAACCGTGCGCCAAAATCACTGAACCTTGCTTCGTCTTTCGAACACAAACCGCATACCACTCAAGTCCTAAACTTTGCGTAGAGGGTCCTTGCCAGCAGGACCCCCGAAATCGACCCCAAACCTCAAAATCCTACCGCCCTAAACCCGACCCGAAACTAAACTCTATCTCTTTCTCTCTCTTTCCCTCTCTCCATCTCTCCCTCTCTCGCTCTCTCTCTCTCTCTCTCTCTCTCTCTATCGCTCTCTCTCTCTCTCTCTCTCTCTCTCTCTCTCTCTCTCTCTCTCTCTCTCTCTCTCTCTCTCTCTCTCTCTCTCTCTCTCTCTCTCTCTCTGTATGCACCTGTATACGTATAAATAAACACAAACACAGAGGAACAAATACACACACACACACACATATAGATTGATATATATATATATATGTATAAACACAAAACACATTTGTATATGTGTATATATATATATACATACATACACACATATACAAAACACTTCTGGTTGTATGTGTACATATATATCCTTCAGAAGGACCGCTTCCTCGACTTGCGACGAAGGAGCCCTCAGCCGCCGGAGCCGAGGTTTGTCTGGGCGCCTGTTCAGGCGATTTCCTTCCTACCCAGCACGCTGTCGGGTTTAGGGACTAGGGGTTTGGGGTTTAGGGCTTTCGGGTTTGGGGAGTAGGGTTGAGGTATTAGGGTTTTGGTTTTGTTCTTTGTTTTTTTTTACGGCCATTTTCGACTCGCTAGGATCCCTACAAGCGGTTTGTCCGCTGTGCGTGGAGGTAAGGCACTCACAGGCCCTGCGCTCCAACCACGAGGCACCGAAAAGGGCGCAAGGTTTGGGAATAGTGGGCACAAGGGTTTTTGACGCTCACACTCGACCCTTCCACAGCCCCCTCCCACCCCTCCCCCCGCCGCCCCGCCCCGACCCCCCCGCCGGCCCTTGCCCCACGGTTTAGGGTTTAGGGCGGACGTATCCAGGCAGGGTTTAGTGTTTCGGTGCAAGCCTTCGTCTTTTTGTCTTTCTTTGCGCCGGAGGTTGGAGGTTCAAGGCTTCCAAATCCAGATTTCAAAAGGGTTCAGGGTGTATAAGGATTCGAAACCTAGCTTTAAACGGCTTGGGATTCTGAATGGAGGGTTTATTGGGGTTGAGGGCTTCAGGCTTTGGGGTTCGGGCCTTTAGGGCCCATATGGGTAGTTGTCAAAATTATGGTGCCTTTTTGGGGTACCCTAAATATTAGGTGCCGTATTATAGGGACCCAAGAAGGGACCATAATTTTGACAACCACCCATAAAGGTCCCAGGTCATCTTGGACTGAAGGCTTTATTCTCTCGCAACTCGGACAGGGCTCAGGGTTCATGGGTTTCCACCGGAGCTTAGACAAGTCACATCATTTTCAGATTGAGAAACCCAACCCTCATACCCCAACAAACCGAAACATCTCTTCTGAAATCGTTGGACTCGGGCGCCTGTGCTGCAGCGGCTTTTGGTCCGGCAGCGGTCCGATGTGGTGCGACTGGGCAGTCAATGGAAAGTATAAGTAATCTGCACTTCGAGCTTGCGATTCACAAGTGATCTTTAGGACTAGCTAGTTTCAATTCGGATACAGGGTACTGCTTTACATGGGTGGTTGTCAAAATTAGCGTCCCTTTTTGGGTCTCTATTATAATGTGGCACTTAATATTTAGGGTACCTCAAACAGGGACCCTAATTTTGACAAGCACCCACATGAGCCGGAAGGTTCCGGCGTTCAACACGCATGGCTTTGCCCTCTGTCGATGTATCGCCATGCTTGCACACGGGGCAAGCCAGTCTCCCCGGATTTTGCAAATCGCGAATGGGGAGGTTTCGGCGGTCACACTCAGGCGAGCATTGGGAGGTTTAGGGCTTTACGGCTTGGGGTTTAGGCTATTGTCTGAGGTTTACAAGGTTTACGAAGGACAGGTGGGAGAGAAGCTGTCTCAGCAACCTGGTCTCCTTTACGACGGCTTCGTTTGTGCTGCCATGTCGGTGATTTCCAGATTTGATGTCTCTCGTTCCCGGTTTCTTTTGCGTACCTGTTACACTTGTCTGCTGATCCTTCGTGTGCTTGTATCGGCATACAATTGTGGTTGTTGGTTTTCTTATCTCTCTATCTCTCGGCTTCACATGCCATGTGTTTGCACGCTGGGAAGAAGTCATGATCAGTGTCGCTGGCCATCTTCCAGAACAGGGACCCGCAGCTTCTTTGAGGATCTAGGGCTCAAGAGGGCGCAGGGCTTGGGGCTCATGAGGTTCAGGCATCCTAGAAGCCTCCCCGGTAGGGCTCAGAATCTGTAACCTGGCAGAATATGGCGAAACCTAGTGAAAAGCCCCCGATGCATGAATCCGCAGCCTCAGGACTCAAACCCTAACCACTAAACGCTTACACCCTTAAGGCTAAACTCAAGACTCTCGTTGCCAGGTGACCTGCCGGTGTGGCAACCTGGGTCTGCTTCTGCACCTTCCCATGCCCACTTGAGATGTTTATCAGCTACATAGACTGTACTAGTTCAATCACTAAGTCGCCACGGAGTCACAAAGCTTCAATTGCAAGACATGAACTTCGCCGAAAGAACCCACAAGACTTTGCAGCTGATACTTTAGCGAACTGCTGTCGTCATCATACTGAGGTCGCCCCGGGTCACCACACAAACATCATGATATCTCTCAGGACTGCAGCACATGCAGCATCCTCAACATGATTGCTAGCTTTTCAGATACTGTGCTATACTATATACTCGACTGTACTAACTAGAAGTTACTACACTGTACGCATAGGAATGCTATGCACACGAAGCGAGCTGCCAACTCCCACAGCCCTCTGGGCACGTCGGTTCAAACCCCGAATCGTCCCATTTACTTCTGACTCCAATTACCTAGAGGCTCCATAGTAGTTCCTTCTCGGGGTTCATACTTAGAACCCTATAGGGCGATCCCACAACGGAACTACTATGGAGCCTGTAGGTATACCGACCGCTCACTAGTCAAACGCACGGGGTGCGAGAGCCTTATCAAAGGCACGGCGCCACAATTGCAATGATGGGCCGCAGCATGAAGCTATCGTAAATTCGTGCTGAAGGCTCACCCGACTTGTCGGGTATTATGGGGAACTAAAGCTTAATTAGCCTTTTTGGCTTTACAGGGATGTGAAAGGGACTATACTACCCAAAAAAGGTTCAAGGTTCCCTACTCTACTACCAGGTCACCGAGTTGAAAGCTGGGTCTCGGCTGAACCCGAAGACCTCGTAGGTGTGGTGTGATGTTGTTGTATGGTACCCTCGTAGTATCATTGAAATAAACGCTGGTCTCATGCTAGCCTCATTCTACACAAAGCCTAGACCTACCTACTATGGCTTGGGTGTTCAATGCTTTCCTGCGCGCTGAAGTGATAAAAAAAACTTCGTACAACACTCCCTCGGGCTGCAAGTCTCACAGCAACGTGTAGTTAAGCTGCACTGTACACTAGACTATGTTAACAAGAGTATACTAGATTATACAATATGCATGTCGTTTAGGGCTTTAGGGTGTCAAGCCCTGAACCTTACAGATCTGCTGCTGGAATGTCAAGAGAGCAGGCAGTGATTCCCAGAAGATGATCCGATACTTAATCTGCGCATGGTACAATCCCTAACGGTCCATTTGCCTGCGCGGGCTTCCATGGGTCGTTCTGCAGCCAGGGATCAGCACCAGCCTGGCGATAGGCGCAAGTTGAAACACCCCTAGTCAGAATAAAGGATCGAGTATACCTTAAATCAGAATAACCGGGATTCCTCTATGATGATATGTTAAATTAAAACAACAGGGATTCCTCTATGAAGTAAGGTATGATGCTCAATCCAGTGATTATGGAGTGCATGGACCGGAGCCCAAGAGCCAACGGTTTAAAAGGTTTGGACTAAGGGTTGTTTTGGATGGGTTGCACAAAGAAAAATGAATAATTAAGCCAGCACTTTGGGGTATACAATCTACACTGGTCTTGTAAAGGAGCCCTAGCATAGTAATATTTGTTCAGGCCCGTAAATCACGTATCGTTGTCTGCTGCATCAAAGCCAAGAGCGTCAGCAAGCCCGAGCAAATGCACAAACACTCCAAAACCGCAAAACCAAAAATGCACAAAACCCGGAAACGCGACAGCCTTAAAGCCCTGAAAAGTCGTCTGATAGCCCAAGATCCGAGAATGCCATGTCGGAGGCACCTGGGCGGCCGGCGCCTTCGTGATCTCTGCAGTCTTGGGTTTCGCGCCTGTGACAAAGGAATCGGAATAGGGTGCTAGGGCTTGCAGGGTTGAGGGTTTTTGGGGTTTCTATGTAAGGTATGCGATGTAGCGTGGGACTTGACGACAGTATCAAAGAGTGCGTGGAGAGCATTGTATTAGAAGCTTCACCATTCAGGGTGGGCTTAAGAAACAGGTGCAGCAAGGTCCGTCCCACAATAACCATATGATGTGAGTCAAACCCCAAAACCTCCAGACCCTGCAGCGACTACGGAAGATGATCTCGGAATCTTCAGCAGGGGCACTGTTCGGGTCCATAGGTACAGTAGACACACCGAATATCTTGCCTAACATGACCAAGCGATCCTACTCTGTCTACGGTGGCTCAAGCTTCCTGTGAAGGCAGCAAAGTAAACGGACGAGTCGAACTTTCAACTCCACGCAACCCGCATGTGTAATGATGTGTGTATGTGTTCCTGTGTGTGTGTATATACATACAAATACACCTCTCTCTGTCTCTGTGTGTCTGTGTATACAGTATACATATATTCACAGTGGTCATTGATGTTTTCACGAGCGCAAAGGTGTTCGGGTCTGCGGCACGGTGGCATGCCTAGGGATTATCAGGGAGATGAGGCGGCGTAAAGCAGCTTCCGGCCGAAAAATCTCAGGGCATGCTCCCGCAGAATGCTAAAAACCAGCAGAAAGCAACCCACAGCCCGACTTCGTAATTATGTGGGTGGCTGTCAAAATTAGGGCCCCTTTTTTGGGTTCTCTAAATAATAGGTGCCGTATTATAGTAAGGACCCAAAAAGGGACCCTAATTTTGACAACTGCCCATGTGTTACCTTGAGGCTTTCAAGCCGATTTCAAGGATTAGCCATGCTTGAAACTAACGAATGGAAGGAATGCCGGTCATATCGCCAAAGGTCCAACGAAATGGACATACACCAGTCCAGAACCAGTAGCAAGCCAGAACCCTAAACCAAGCAAGTGAAAAGGCGAAGGGTGCCAGGGTCTTGCTGCAAAGTAGAACCGCCCAATTGCCAAAACCCTTCAAACGTTATAAGGCGCCTATTTACGCATTGCTTTATATCCCGGAACCGTCTTTTAAAGCCTGAGACAAGTTCTGGTCTCCCTAAACCAAACCCTAGCCCCTACCAGGGGGGCCTTAATAATTAGAGTAGGGTTTTGGGGCCCTTTATACTGTAATCATAATAAGGCAGCCCAAAAAATAGTATTGGTATTTGTGCCCCTCTATCCCTAATTCCTCCCGCATCTTGCTGCCAGAAGGCCAATGGGACCAGGCAGTTGTGGCCAGGGGGCCTGGAAAATGAGTTTGGGTGTACGTGTACGGTTCTAGGGCCTTGGGGTTTTTGTTTAGGGGTTAGGGGTTGGGGGTTTGGGGGTTAGGGGTTCACGGATTTACTGGGCTTAGGGTTTAGCTTTTGTTTTTGCCTCCTTCACTGCTGAACCAGGAGGATCCTTACCATAAGGAACCTAAAAAAAGGTACTCCTAATTTCCGGAAACTCCCAATATGCGAACCCTCAGTTGAGGAACTTCCCTCAAAAGCCTGCACTAGTCCCGAGACTTACTGGTGCTTCAAGAAGCATGCGGGAAGGAATATAAGGACGACTACAAGGGACACCATAGGGACTATTGTCAGATCCAGTGTCCGACTCCCACGTCCCCGGTAGGGTGGAGGCAGGGCACTGCCCGTTGGACTCGAAGTAGGCCGGCTTGCAATAGGAGCAGGAGGTGGAATCGGAAGAGCGGTCCGCGGTCTCACACGTCGAGATGCTGAGGCCATTTCCGATGCAGCCCACCATGAGGCGGTTTCTGCCTCCGTACAGATGCCGAGTCTGATCCGTTTATATAGACTCTCGCCGCTGGGCGAACTCAGCACTGTTCCTGGAGCCGTGTAGCTCCGTGGTATCCACGAATAAGTCGGTGGGGGTGACAATGGTGGTGGCGGAGGTGCCGGTGGTGGCACTCCCGGCGACACCTCGGGCGGCGACAATGGTGCCGCTTGCTCCATCTCTGTGTCCCCGGCCATCTCTGTGTCCCCCGCCATCTTTGGCGGTGTCGTGGGCATTCTCGCCCCAAGTTAAGCCCTAAACCATCAGCCTTAAACCCTAAACCCCAAGAATCTTGCGGAGTAGCCAACGTGATTTTAATTCATCGGGATTGTTGCTTGGAGAGAAGGGTTTGTGTGGGTGAAGTAGGGCATCCAGCATTGATCCAGACTCGCTGGTTGGATATTCTAGAGTAGTACGACGCTTTGATACCCATTCACCTGCGTAGATTACAAAAATACCAACCGTCAATCGTGCGGAGGTGTTTGTCCTCCAAGGCTAGTTCTTGAATGTTCTTGAAGGGAGTAACGAAGAACTGGCAAGACATATGAATGATATAGGCGGATTTTGGACTTCAGACATATTCTACTTCTCCACAAGTGTTGTAGCTTCATGTAGGCAGAATGCGCTTTTTGCATGCGTGCTTCAATAGCTCGCCCAGTGGTGTGGGTCCAACTCAAAGTGGTACCAACGTACTTGACTGTGTCAACTGTAGTACAGGTGTGCCATCTGCGACATGTATAGCTATGGGTGGAGTGTTCGGGTGTTGCAGAACCTCGGTTTTGTCAACATCCAACGTAAGATTGTATAATGACGCTTCTACTTGCATGGCTTGTAATAATTCTGCGAGCTGTGGCGGAGTAACCGCAAGTAACAGAGTGTCGTCAGCGTACTCTACATCGTAAATGGGTTCGCCCACTGACCATGTATTAGGTATGTGAATCCTGGGATCACAACCGCTATACAGAACTCGCCCAAAGCCCGGGTACAGCTGTTGAAGATCTAATACAACTGCGCTGTAAAACCCCTCTAGAACCCTTAAGAGCGCCTTCTTGCACAGCTACCGCACCCCATTCGAGCCCAACCTCCTCTCTAGACGACGTCCCTACAATCAACCTGCCCCTGGCACCCTAAACCCTTAACCCAAAAATCAAAACCCTAAACCTCTGATTCCTAAAACCCGAAACCCAAAGCCCGTGCCACAAAGTCCAGGGTGTTTGTGCGGTCTTGGCGCGGCTTTGCAAAGCGTTTTAGCACTGAGAAGATCACGGCTTCGGGTGTCTGGGCTTAGGGCCCGTGAAATCGGAGCCTGCTGCACCCTCCCTCGCCGTTGCACTGGCTGGGAGCGGTTATTACCATATTTACCCAACTTATACCCCCTTATAACTACCCCTAAACCCTATAGAACACTTAAAGGAACCCGGCAGCTGGATCTGTTCCTCCGGCAGCTGCCAGCGCTGGAAACGCGCTGGGTCCGGCCCGAGCTGCGGGCGGACGCCGAGCTGGACGAAGCCCGGGCGCGTCAGCATGGGCGAGAGCTGCATCACGCCGGCTACCGCCAAAGAGGAGACTCCATCGTTGCTGCTGAACCTCGTAATATAGGGGAGCTAAATCACAAGGAGCCCCTAAGATAGTATAGGCAATCTAGTTATTAAGGCCTCTCTATTACTTGAAGCCGGCCCTGGACCCACTTCAGCCTTCGGGTCGTCTGATGCCCAGTGGTCGGCCTGGATGTGGTGGTCTTTGGGGCCTCGTAGGGTTCCATGTGGGGTTACAAAAAACAAATATGGGTTCCTTTTATCAAGGGTTCTGCAAGGATTGAAAATTATTGTTTGAAGGTTTAGGCCTTTGGACTCAGGTTGAAGGATGCCAGCCTGGCCGCAAAGCGCACAGTTTCGTGCCGTTTAGACTAAATGCCGGGGCCGCTTGGCATCGAGTCCGAGCTGGAATCTTTGTATTCGTCAAGCTGATTACCCACAGACTCCAATATCCCTTAATTTAGGAGTATTCCTCAAATCATATTAGGTATCCTATTATAATTTATGGTACATTCCTTAATTAAGGGATATTGGAGTCTCTGGGTAGTGCAATCTTGCAACTGATCTATCGGAAATCTCTAGTGGCCTGAAGCTCCGTTCGGTCTTGTGAAGAGATATGCTTTCAGGAACAAAGGAGCCCCAGAAAGCCCAATACCCCTTAATTAAGGAATATAACTTAAATTTGAATATGAAGCCCTATATAACTTAAGCCATATTCCGCCTTAATTAAGGGGTATTGGGCTCTCTGGGAGATGCTTGGGCCGGAAGCCTTGCATGAAAGCGCCTTAGTTCTCCCTCCCGCCATGCCTCCCAACGACCATTTGCGTGGGAGTTTCCGAAAAAGCAGAGGACCCCTAATATAGTACCCTTTATAGGTAGGATCCTTATTATAAGGACCCCAAATGAGGCATATAGTACCCTTGCCAATGAATAAAAAGGATCCTTATTATAAGGACCCCCAAAATAAGGCACCCCTAATTTTCGGAAACTCCCATTTGCTTCCACTTTCTGATAACCCAACACCCTGTGGAATCTCAACCTCCCGACGAAACCTACCAGAAGAAGCTCTGAGTCCATCCGCCGCCCCCCTTAAAGAGCCTTCGCTGCTGCTTGCTTGCCTTTTCCCGCGCCCTTCGGCTCCTGTGGCTCCAAGCAGGATAGAGAGCACAAAAGCACAAAGCTATAGGGAACCGGAAGGTTTACGCTCTCGCAACTCGGACACAGCCAGACGAGGTTCTTGGTTCGCAGCTACGTTCTAGGTCGGCTCTCTTCCGGTTTAGCTTGCAGGGTTTATGCTCACAACTGGGACAAGCCAGGCGAGGTGTTATGAGTAGGTTCAGGGTCATAAACTTTGAGCCGTGTACACAAGTAAAGAGTTCAGGGCTTGTGCTCTCACAACTCGGTCCAGCCGAGTTCAGGGATCGGGGATCAGGGTAACTATCGAGAACGCTAAGCCATGTAGTAGCATAAGAACCCCTCATGTATTTCGTCTTTATGCGGGCTTCTAGTTTCCAGATTCTAAGGGGTCGGAGAAAATGGCAGTGACGCCGACAACATTCGTTGCAATAAAACGCCCGCCTCGCCTTTCTACATACAGCACCCCATGTCTTCATAGCACAGACTGATGCTGATAGTCTTTGCAAGAGAAAGAGCTACCTATAGTTTCCATTGTAGTTCCTTTTTTGGTTAAGCAGAAACTTTATTAATGATCTTAACCATGAAACTGGTTCAATGGAGACTATAGGTACTACCAAGCGCAAACGAGGCCCTATAAAGGCTGCTCTGAGCGGAGGAGCGATGCAATTGGGCTAGACGCTTTCTTTAAAGTTTATGGCGTATAGGGCTTATAGGGTTCATAAGGTCTAGAGATTCATTTGGATTCAGGTTTCAAGACGACAGGTTGGAAACTCAGTGTAGGTCAGCCACTCTCCAGTGCACGACAAGGCTCTGATCGAAAGCGATTCCACACATAAGGGCGGTTTCCAGTCTGGCTATCCGCCCAAATTAACCTCAGGTTCAAGGACAGCACGGAGGCTTGCGCTTGAGAGCTCAGGTGCTGCAATAAAGGTTCTGCACTCAGGTCGCAACGGCACAGCACGACTCACGACCAGCAGTCTCCAGTTTGTAGTGAAAAGAGAGAGCTTTGCGGCTGGTGCAAAGCATGCATGCCATGTGCTCTCGAGGAATGCCAAGCAGAAAGCACACAAACAAAGGGCCTTCGGACCCCCGCCTTGAAGCTATGAAGCCTTAAATTAAACCGAGACCCTAAACCCCTAGTATCCCAGATCTTCAGCCCTTGAGATGTTCATAGTTTGCAGGAGGAGCTTTGTTTTCGGGGATATGGGGTGCCAGGATCTCAACCATCGAACCCGTTTCTGGGTGTCTGAAGTTAAGTATAGACGGAGGGACAGAATCTAGGTTCCGGACTTCGGATTACGGGCATCATCGCGGCTTTCAGGGTGAGTCTTGGTGAAGGCCCCACACTATCAAACGGTTCAATTTAAACTTCTCCCATGTTTTCGAGTCTCTACCAAGTGACTCCGCGTCGTCGCAGCTGGTCAAGCACCACTTCTTCTTGTCTCCTCTAGCAGCAGCGGATTTAGCGGATCCTTTCTTGATGTCCGCCGATTTGCGAGAAGGTCATGCTTAAAAGATGCCAAAAGCACACGAGTACAGTTCATCATAAGGTCAAGGCGCCAACTCAAAATATCACTAGGGCCCCAGTTGCCTAAATTCCGGGTGACTGGGAACTGGTTAGTAACCTACTATTTACAAAACTGGAGCCCGTAGGGTTTCTGTGCCCCAACACTCGAACCCGTGAGCCGAAACCCCAAATGTATCCGAAGACCCTGATTTGGGAGTTTCCGAAAATAGGGGTACCTTGGATTGGGGTCCTTATAATAAGGATCCTGCTATTTAGGGTACTATATTAGGGTCCCCTATTTGTGGAAGCTCCCAGTTATAAAATCACGAAACACCATGACCTTGAACGCTGAACCCCAATATACCCCAGTGTCCTAAACCCCTAAACGCTGAACCGGCCCGTGTCTCCGTAGTGGAGGAGTCCCCCCTCATCCACATGGATGGCAATGTCGTACGTCTGCTGGCCCACACAGGACCTCGCTGCGTCGTGCTTCGAGGGTTTTGAGCGGCCTAATTATGGGCTGTGAGATTGTGAAGGGCTAGGATTTTGAACGGAACTGGGTGTGTAGCATCTGTCGTCAAAGGGGTGTGGCTGGAGTGGCCTGAGCCCTGTAGACCCTATCTAAAAACCTATCCCAATAAAGCAAAGATCGCGTTAGTCAACAAAGGGACAACACAAAGTGCCAGCAAGTAAAATATGATGTTCTCAACATCAACGACTCCTTTTCGGCTATGTTTGCATCTGAGCCCATCCTCTATTCTTGGAATTTGGACTCTTGATTCGGCTTGCATCCTACTCCTCGAAGTCACGTGCGGCCCGCTTATTCAAACTTGATGTGTGCAGGCTTGGAGGCTTCGGGCGGTAGCTGCCTGCTCCTACCCCTGATCATCATCATCACCAGCTATCATCGACATCACAGTCATCATCATCATCATCATCATCCTCATCTTAATTGTGCTATTTCAATCGTTCTTCTTCATCGCTTTCATCGCCACCATTACCATCGTCGCCGTCATCGCAATCGCACGCATCTTCCTAACCTGGCATATGCAGTTTAGACTCTGCGAGACATGCAAGCGCCACGCAATGCACTTGTTGTACTCCACATAAATCTCTAGTGCAAGGCCTGGGAGCAGTAGAACTGATGGGAAACCACGAAACCAACGTTAGAAACAATCGCCAAAGTGGATACATATAACTGTAGCCGACACCGTAGCCCCGCAGGAAATGGCACACACAACACGAACTCAAAGAAAACAGTAAACTTTTTACGCGTCGTCGTTGTCATCGTCCTCGTAGTCACAAGAATGAGACTAACCCAAGGCACCCTAAACCCTAAACCCTAAACCGTGCACTTCGGCGATATCTCTCCTAGAGCTGCCGCCAAGCTTCTTGGTCACCACGAACAAGCCTCCACAGATCAGAGTCTTGGGTTCAGGTCTCAGTAGGCTTTGGGTTTCCAGAGAACCCAAAACCCCTTAATTACGGAATATACCTTGAATCGTAATATGAAGCCCCCTAGAAACTCAGGTATAGAACCCTTGATTCCCTTATAGACCCCCTTTAGATCCCCTTATAAGGAACCCTTTCAGGAAACCCTAGGCCTTAGGTATATTCCTTAAATTCAGAGGTCTTGGGATCTCTGGGAAGCGGGGGGCCGGTAAGGCATCGAGTCCATGCTGCTGGCATGTTTGGGCGGCCAAGCAGGAGCTTTTTGATAGGGTGTAGGGTTCTAGGGTTTAGGGTTCTAGGGTTTAGGATTGTAGGGTGTAGGCTTATAGGGTGTGGGATTATAGGGTTTGGGATTATAGGGTTTAGGGTTATAGGGGTTATAGGGCTTAGGCTAGGGTTATAGAGTCTAGGGTTTAGGGTTATAGGGCTTTAGGGTTCAGATGGGTTTAAGGTTTAGATCGGTTGTAGGGTTTAGGGTCATAGGGCTTTTTTGACACTCACACTCGGACAGGCCTGGCAAGGTCTGCAGTTGTCGTCATAGGGCTTAGGATTACATAGGGCTACAGGGCTTTGGGTTTAGATGGGTTTAGGGTCATTCTCTCTGCAGGGTTTTGAAAGGGGTATACAATGCGCGGCTCCACAAGCCCGTGCACGGGCCTTCGGGTTTAGGGTTTCATTTTTAGGGAACCATGCAATTACAACGGCCAGGCTAGCTGTCATAGACTTGGCCACACCCAAGACTGGCTTCTGTCACCGCCGAGAGCCCTGCACCTATGTCCAAAAATCTGAGCTTTGGGCTCTGTGGAGATCTTCGGGTGAAGGGGCAGTAGTTCGGACGAAAGCATCCAGAAGGATGCCCCGCCCCCAAACCCTAGACTGATGAACTAAACCCTAGACTGATGAGCTGAAGCCGGATCCCCTGATGGCCTTTCTTCCCGGGCTTTTGGCGCATGATCGTGTACACGGCATGAAAGTCTTTTTCCTGCTTAATACGAACATCCACGATGAAGATCGGTGGAATTCAAAGGTTTGGTATCAGCGGGCCTCCACATAGTAGGACAAACAAGACCACAATGGTTAGAACAAGGGTTTGCGACACAGCATAGACTGTAATACATTGTAGCAATAGACTATGACATACTGGAACATGTACTATACTAGACTATACTGTACTATACCATACTATTCGCATACTAGATACTGTCATATTTAGGAAGTTTTATGCAATGATAGTAGCTGGACTCGACGAGAAGCTGAACGGCTCCCTCAGGGCATTGGTTGAGGGCTCTCTTCCCAAAGACTCCAATATCCGTTAATTAAGGAATATTCCTTAAATCATGAAAGGGATCCGACTACAATTTAAGGTATATTCCTTAATTATGGGATATTGGAGTCTCTGGGTTAAGGGATCCTCTAAGGTTTCCTTCAAAGGCTTTGCTTCGGGGCTCCTTTGAGGGTTTCTGTAAGGGCACTCAGCAGGCATCTAGGGCGGATTTATGTAGAGATTCAGGGTTTAGGGGTTCACATTGTACGGCTCAAGGGTTCAGGGTTTAGGGGATCTGTAGAGTCTTAAAAATGTTGCATGAATGCTCATCCAAGCTGGCACATCGCATGTAAGGCAGCCGGTGGGTCTCGAGGCTGCAAGCAGTCTGGCTAGCGATGCTTCTACGAAGAGTAGATGCGAAACCTCACACGACCTCTGCAATTTCAGGTCCTTCCACTGTGTGTTGTGAAGCCAATCGAAGCTTCTTTCGCTTTGCTGCTTCAGGACTGCCTGCAGGGACAGTTCTCGAGTTCTTTTGTCGCTCTTTGATCCCCTATCTCCTATCCCCGGCTCACTGAAGACCAAGTGTCATCACACTAATATAGGGGCATTAATAGGTTGTGAGGCCCATCGTAATACTTTGATAATAAGGAACCCCTAATAGTAAGGTAACTAATTCAGGCCCCTGTAGCCGAATTATTTCCATTCGTTGACTATGTGAAATCTAAGCAGCAGGTTGTTTTTGGACATGCTTCCTTGCTTTGGGATCCTATCCGCTACATTGGCTGCACGGGATAACTAGCTTTTCAAGGGTCAGGGAAATGAGTGTAGTCATGGCTACTGTTGGCCCTAGGTAAGCTGGCTAGAATGCTTTGAATTGCCGCGAGCGTGGCAGAAGCCCGGGGGCTGCCTCTTACAACTCCTAGGGTCCTAAACCTTGAACCAGAAGGTCCTAAACCCCAAATCAGGGAAGCTGTTGAAGCCTCAACACTGAACCGGTAAAACACCCACTCCGAAACCAGGATCTGACAAACTCTCACACTGAAGCCGAAACTCCCGTAGTCAACCCCTCTAGATCCCAGAAAACTCTTGCAAACCTCTAACACCCTTTGAAACCCAAGACCTTTCCGGACGATGCCGAGCCGCTGCTGTCGCAGGAGTCGCAACCGGCCGCGCAGTGGACTTTGGCTGTACGAGATAGACCTGGGAGCTGCGGAGTTTGGAGATTAGAATTCGGAGTCCAGGGTTGTTGCTTGAGCCTACCTGAACCCTTTTTGCTGCAGGCTTGCTTGCAAGGACGCCTGGTAAACCCTGAACCCTAAATCCTAGACCCTGAATCCTGATCTCTAAAGCCTAATTCCTAAACCCTAAATCCTAAACCCTAAAGAAGCTCAGAAGACCTGGGAGCTATGGAGATCTGTCCGGTGCTTTGTAGGGAAATGAGGGCATGGATCCCTATAATAGTCCTCCAGGTCCCTTGTTAGTACTTTCCATAACCCATTCCCGCATTCACTACTAAGCACCAGACAGAGTTTTGGGATTAGAGTTTGGGGTCCAGGATTCAGGGGTTTAGTGTTTTCGGGTTTGGGGCTTCGGGGTAGATTTTGCTTTTCTTTACAGTGCAGTGGCACCCTTTTCAGGGTTTGCGGTTCGGTGTTGTCACGGCGGTTGGAAAACCCGTTACTAAACCCTATTCCATGCTTTGCAACGGGGTTCAGGGGACTAGCCAGATCAAATTACCTTTTTGCAACAGGCTTCGACTTCGCCCGGAGTTAGACACAAGCAGCTCCGCAGTAAACCTAAACCTTAAACCCCTCAACTCTAAACCCTTGCGATATAGGGCCAGGTGGGCTACGATCTTAGTCCCGCCGACGAATCCTCTCTGAGAGGGATTTGGGGTTTATTGCGGTTATCGATTTTTGCGTTGGTACACCTAGTAACCTAGTACCTTCAGCTGAGTTGCAATGTCCTTGCTGTTGTCCACCGTCAGGTCATGCCGGAACTCAAGCACCTCATGCATATCCATGCCCGAAAGCTCTCAAAACAGCCCCATGCTTGAATCCGCACCCGAGCAGAACTCGCATCATGAGCACAGCTCGTTGTGCTCTCCTTACCCCGAAGCCCTGAACCACGGACCTCTAGCGCACCAGCCCGAAAATCGTACTCCTGAAACCCCAATAGTAGTGTTGGGGTTTGCTCTAAACCGCTACGCTCCTACAAAGGTTTAACGAAGGTTGTTGATAGGTCTTGTCTGGGGGTGTTTAGGGCTTCTGGGCCTCTTGCAAGATTCGCCTTTACAGTGCCCATTCTAAGCCTTTTCACTAAAGAGAAGCTGAAAGCCTTATCTATCCTCCGTGGGTGATGCGATGCAAGACTGCATTGTTTGCAAGATCTGTACGACTACATGATGTGCAGTTGGCAAGTTGCACGTTGCACCGCAGTCTGCCCGTTCTGTGCTGAACGACGTACTTCAGACCTATCTTGTAAAGAGCATTGTTCCCTCTCCTGAAACATCCAAACCGAATTTCGAAAATCCCCGCGCTAGCCGCGCTCCTCAGCTACCAAGCAAAGTGCAGCAAAACTGAGACGTAGCCCCTTGCATTCTGCAAAGTTTGTGAAGCAAACTAAACGGCCTCCGCCCTAATTACACAGCACACCAAACAGCACTCTAACCATGACTCTAATCACGAAGCCTGAGCTAAGCCGACTCTTGCAAGAACAAAGTCAAGTGCGATGCCAAGCCGACTAAACACTGAACTAAACCTAAACCCTTGACCCATTTACTTCTTCGAGCACAGGACCCATGCAAGGAAGCGGGTGCGTTGTTGCGCGGCGTTGTTCCTGACAACCGAGCCGACTGGAAACATGGGAGGTCGAGCAGAGGAGGGTTTGCACCATCTGCTCGACTCCTATCTGTATCTAAGTATCATTGAGTGTATGTATGATTCATATATATATATATATATATATATATATATATATATATACATATGCATGTATGTTCATGTGCGTGGGTATGCGTGTATGCATATGTATGTATGTATGTGTATATATATACACATACATATACACGCATCTCTCTCTCTCTCTCTCTCTCTCTCTCTCTTTCGGGGCTTCCGACATGGGGAGTGCCTCTGTCACATCTCCACGCTAAAGGGATCGTACGGGGATCGATGCAAACGTCCCTATATCATTCGAAACTCCCCTATCTTACAACGCGCTTTTTCTATTGATAACATGATTTTGATTGCTGATTCAATAGTATCGTAATCCGCCTCGTTCCGGCTGTCGAGCATGCGACCGATTACTACCGTGACTGAGCCACTGTTCGTGTTATGTTGTCGTACGAGACCGATGTCCCAGTGCATGGTTTCTACCATGGAGTAACAGAGACAGTATGCTTTCTCTAGTCGCGAGCTTGCAAAAACTATCTTATGATTTTGTCGTGTATGTGCTGCCCTTAAACATTTTCAACACAGCAATCGTTAGCCGTAGCAACTGAAAACTGTAGCAACTGAATCAGGACTGGAACTCCAATCTTTGTGGGGGTTGCAATCTGACCCTAAGGCACCATGTGCCCATACAGTACATACTTACTTATGCCTTAAATTACCTATATAGGAACCCTTTAGGGCTTGAGTATCTACTACAAAGAGAGGTACATGGAGCCTTTGCGTGAGGCATTCCTCGATCCCACGTGTTGTCGGGCCTTCGACGAAAGATCTGCATTCCCAGACTTCGATACATGCAGCCCTTTGCGAAAGCTCGAGGTTGCTGAGTACCCTAGCCCAAGAAAGGTTAACCTTTTGAATGATAGTAGGGCTATATAAGCCCCAAAAGGTTGAAGGTTACCTACTCAGCCCCTGAGACCTTGTAGTTTAAGGTAGTTTAGGGCCTAGGGTTTCGGGATAAACCCTCAGCCGTAACTCCCAGCCAAGGACAGCAATAAACCTCCTGTCAAACCTGAAACCTATATCCCAACCCCTAACCGTTTCCAGTCTTTAAATCTTTACCCCATAAGAGGAAGACCTGCGCATCTTAAGCTCAAAGGCCCTATAATATAGGGACCTTCACAAATGGAATAGGGTTTGGGGGTACATTATAGTCATTATAGTGTAATGATAGTAGGGGATTACCAAAATAGTGTTGCTAATTATTGAGGCACCTATATGAGATTAAAAGCCCAAAAACCTTCAACCCTAAACTCCCACAAGCAAAACAAGCTGAGCATCTGATTGAGGCCCGGAGCGAGCTCCTTCCCGAACATCCTCAGGACCTGAACGCGAACTCTCTTTTCACCCGCACCGTTAGGGTTCAGGGGTTTGGGGAGTTTAGCGTTTGTTATTGTAGCACCTTTGGCCGAGAGGTTGCAGCATTGCGTTTGACGGGGCTTTCGGACCTGAGCTGGTCCATATTCCAAGGCATCCTCCTTCTTCATGCAACTCGTTCTCGCTGATCCCGCGCGCCCTAAACCCTAAACTCCGCAAACTTTAATCCGTGGCCTTGCAGGAGCCCTCGAGACGCTATATGTCTGAGTCTAACGGTTAGGGATGTGCTGCTTCAATTTTTGTCTGCCATTTTTGCCCGGGACACAACTAAGCAGGCCGATGACAACGATGCGAAATCATGTAGTGCCCCAGAGCCTCCAAAACCCCTGAATTACATAATATAGCTTAAATCAGAATAGGCTTCCTTTTATTTATATTCTAGGATGCCCAGTAACCTCGGAACAAACAGGGCTCCCTTTTTTTCGTATTGGGTAACTTTATAAGGAACCTAGAACTACGAAAAGAGCAAAAGGGCTGCTGGGAGGCCTAGAGTTTAAGACATACTCCGTAGTTGAGGTGTTTTGGAGTCTCTGGGATCGTCAACAGCCCCAAATCCTCAGCGGTCGGCTCACGGCGTTTAAGCTTTGAGGGGCCTGCTGGGTCCAGACTACTTTTAAGAGTATCATGGGACTTAGTGAATGGGAGTTTCCGAAAAGAGGGGACCCTAAAATAGCACCCTAAATAGTAGGATCCGTATTATAAGGATCGGAAACTCCCAAGTAGGGTGTATAAGCACCAAAAATGTGGGTTCTAAGTGGGTTTCCCAGACAGCCCAATACCCCTTAATTAAGGAATATGGCTTTAATTATAAAAAGCTTCATACTATTATTTAAGCCATGATTATAGGTGGTTGTCAAAATTACGGTCCCTTTATGGGTCCTTGTTATAATACGGCACCTAATCATGTAGGGTACCCAAAATAAGGAATTAAGGGGCATTGGGCTCTCTGGGTATACTCTAGTCCAAGGCCTGGCCTGGCTTTCCTACAATCCCAGGCGGTGAGAGAAGGGGAGATCATAATCATAGCCCCTCCACGCTGAACCAAGGGTGTAGGGTCTAGGGGTTTAGGGTTTAGGCTTTAAGGGTTTTGGGACAAAGCCTGAACTTTTAGACGGGAGTCAAAACATATCTAGCATAAAGATGACAGGTACATGTGCATTCTTGAGCTCTGTGATCTTCGCCCTTAACTTCCCAACTTTTTCAAGCTGAGAGGCGGAGGGGATTGAGACCTCACCACCACTCCGCTTGACGAAGTCCTTAGCAGCGTGCTCTGTCACGTTCGGAATGTGGGGGCGGGGTATAACGCTTTTAGGCTTCAGGTTGGGGGTATAGGGATTGAAGCTTAGGGTTGGGCCAGGGTTGGGGTCTTTGGTTTCGGTGCTCACACTCGGACAATCCAGGTGAGGCATGAGGTTCGCAGTCTGACAGGTGAGACCGTTCTAAGTAGGGATAGTCATGACGAGAAGAAGCAACAACGCATCTTTGGTTTCAGGTTCAAGATTGTAGGGTTGGGGGCTTAGGGTCTGGGGTTGTGCGTCTGTTTGGCAAAACTGTCGGCTTCGGGGGCGTCAGGCGAACAAAGATGCATGCGATTTCACAATGAAACCCACCGAAACACCATGCCCTGACATACATGTATGAGGACCTGCAAGAATCGCTCACCAACCTTTGGACAGGGAATGCTTACTACAGGCGATTGCATCTTGTTGCGGGGTAGGTTCTTACACCAAGTACCTTCCTACTTGTCGGGTATCAAAGGGAACTAAAGGTTAACCTTTTTGAATATATAGGGATTATATAGGGACTATACTACCCAAAAAAAGGGTTAAAGGTTACCTACTCGACTCCTAATAGCCCCTTGTAGAACCCCCGACTAGATCCCTTAAAGGAGCCCCCTTAAGGCTACCCTAAGCCTAGGCTTCTTTCGATTTGGGAGCCTCAAGGCGAGGCTCAGTTTAAACAACACCGGCATGGCCGAGTCGTGGGTGTTTTTTGTAGGGGCCTTAGTAGATAGAATACTGCGCCAGGACGAAAGTTCGTCGCATCCGGTAGGTCTGCTAACACATACTCGCAAAGCCCTTTCCCCCATAGACTCCTTCACGAAGTCGCGATGTTTGGCAAGGACGTCACTAATTCCTCCGTCGGAACAAAAAAACAGTGTATGTTCATTTTGGCATGGAAATTCCTCCGCTAGCCAGGCCACGTAAAATGCACGTCTTCGTGCTCCGAGTCCTCCGCCAAGCAAAGACATCTTATTGCGACAAAACTTTCATCCTGCTGATGCTCGCCCGCGACTAAAAACGAGTAGGCACCCGTCCAAAAAACCTCCTCCGTGTGACACATGCTGGCCTGGCCGAACTAGCGGTCTTGGAATTCATGCCCCGTCCAAAAAACCTCCTCCGTGTGACACATGCTGGCCTGGCCAAACTAGCGTTCTTGGAATTCATGCTGCTCGCCCGCGACGAAAAACGAGTAGGCACCCGTCCAAAAAACCTCCTCCGTGTGACACATGCTGGCCTGGCCAAACTAGCGGTCTTGGAATTCATGCTGCGCCAGGACGAAAGTTCGTCGCATCCGGTAGGTCTGCTAACACATACTCGCAAACCCCTTCCCCCATAGACTCCTTCACGAAGTCGCGATGTTTGGCAAGGACGTCACTAATTCCTCCGTCGGAACAAAACAACAGTGTATGTTCATTTTGGCATGGAAATTCCTCCGCTAGCCAGGCCACGTAAAATGCACTTCTTCGTACTCCGAGTCCTCCGCCAAGCAAAGACATCTTATTGCGACAAAACTTTCATCCTGCTGATGTAGGGGTTCGCTTAAAGGGGTTACTATAAGGGATCTATATAATAGGGTTCTATACTATAGGGGCCTGAATAATTAGAACAGGGTTTTGGGGCCCATAGACTAGAATTTGAAGAAGGAGCCCCCAAATCGTGTTGGTAACTATTAAGGCCCCTATATTAAGTTGAGACTGCGCTTCAGCAAGAGATCGACCCTTGTACGAGACATCGTCCTGAGCCTCACCTGCAACAGCAATCCCAAACATGTCGGGCTTAAACAGTGGGCAATGAACCCGGGACATCCCGGGACCACCACCGAATCTGACAGCGAAAGAGACTAAGCTATAGCTCCGAACCTCGTCTCAGGTATTCGGTAGTAGTGGTAGCACTGACTAGCATATCAACATCCGAAACGGGCCGTAACCCTTCACCAGTACACCAGCACCCTAAACCCCTAAACTCTATACCCCAGGCCCTACACCAGCACTGTAGCTTCTCGGGCCGCGACCAGCACGCGCTGCAACAGTGGAGCCGTGTATTTCGTTGGCTCGGCCTCCTGTCCGATGCATAATATAGGTGCCTAGATACGAATAGGGTTTCGGGGTATATCATCCTATAATTACAATAAGGAACCCCCAAAACCCTTTTGTAATCGCATACGATTTTGGAGGGTAGAAGGTCGAGTCTAGGATTTGGAGGGTGTAGGGCTTAAGATTTTCGAGCCTGAAAAGCATTGGGGAGCACTAAACCCTACCCCAGGGGTTTTGGGGACACTGTACAATATTTATAAACAACGAACCCCTCGGTAATTATCTAGGCCCCTACAGTAAACGCATCAAGCCAAGTCCTCAACCCCCCCAAACTCCGAATCCGACACCGAGTTGAACGATGGCCCTGCTCCTCGCCTGCATTTTGTCAGGCAGGGGCGTATCCAGGACATCATGATCGATGAGGGCCTGCTACCCAGAGTTCACGGGAGGATCTGGAAAGTAGATCCCCTAATTTGGGGCCCTATACTACTAAGGGTACTTTATAGGAACCCCCATTAAGGGATCTACTTTTTGGATCCTCCCGGGGGTATGGGTATTGGGAGCGAAGATTTTTCGAGGATATCCGGAAGGTGCACAGGTTCTGAGCGTAGCACTGAGGCTTCGAGGGTGTGTTAAGGGGGCAGTCCCTGAGAGCACTAAAGGACAGGGATCCATCGCTGTAGAGGTCTAGGTGTTAGGAGTTTCAGCTGTACCCAAAGGCCCCTATTTGGGGTTCATATGTAGAGTTCTATAAGGTAAACCCAAAAAGGAACTACTTTGGGGCCTATGGGTAGGTATCCTCGGGGGGGGTGCACCGACTGACTGTGGCCACGGTCTTCGTGGCCAAGACGCTTGCACGGCGACAACCGCAAACTCCCCCAAACCAACCCTGCGTCGTCTAACCAGTGGTTTTGGGGGTTCCCTTGGCTCTTTAGCTCCTTATCTATCATCATCCCTGGCTCCTTAGCTCCCCCAATATCAATGGTTAGTTGTTTTTAAATACTGAGCGCCCGTGCTTTGAACCCTAAACCAAATATCCCCATACATATCTGCCTTCACACGTATACTCACAGGTGCTTGCATACGTTGACTGGGGTTTCGGGCTGAGTTTACCAAATTTTCCAGTGGATTCAAGGGGGTGCTTCTACTTCTCGAAGCTCCAATGCTAAATCCTACCGAAAACCCAAACCCAAAGACTCCAAAACCACGCAAATGGGGAAAATAGTTCTGAACATAGAACCGGAACTGTCATGGTTCAAAATTCCTTCACGAATGGGTTTTGGAGGAATTCGGGCCTAAACCCTAAACGCCCTAACCCTAACCCTAAACATCCGAACCCAACAGCTCACGCGGCGAAGATGGGCCTTGGCCCAGTTTCGATGTCTCATGTCCGGTCGCTCCTGTCCTCGCCTTCGCTGGGAGGGCTATGATGTGGCAGGGTTTGTGGTTTAGGGGTTTTATCCTTTAGGGGTTATTGGTTTAGAGGTTTAGGGTTTAGGGGTGTAGGGCTTAAGGAGTTTCAGCAACATGGACGCATTCTCACGCGTGAAGAGCAGCAACTCGGCGATGCTCCTCCACACCGACCTGAGACTCAAGTGTCCCATGGCCGTCACAGCCTCTGTGACCACTGCAGGTAACTCAAGTGTCTCTTGCAGTTCGTACATCTCTGTTGCATAACGTGTGGTGTCCCCTTGGTACTCTTGACCTTCTCGGAAATAGTTCATGAACTCCACACGCACATATGACTTGCCAATGCCAACGCTGACAAAGCCTGATACTCGTTCTTCGACTTGTACAAACTCCACCAGGGGGGTCCACAGGATTGACACCGCAAAAAAGAGTGCCATTCCTGCCCTGATTGTTGTTGTATCCCCTTCGTGCTCGTCCTGCTCCTGAGCTCATTGGGAAAGTCTGGCTGTCAAGCCAATCTGTGTAGGTGTTTCCGAATTGAGGACTCCTTGAAGTGGATGTGACACACACCAAATGCTAGAGCCAAAACCAGAGCCCGATCCGGGGAGTGGTTCGATGAAAGTTGAGGGCAACGGTATTAACCCTCGCATGAAAGCGCGATCAGGCTCAAGGAGTTTAGGGTTTAGGGGTTTGGGGGCTTAGGGCTTCGACTCGCACACTCGCACAACGCAGGCACGGCTTCGGAGGTCTCCTTGCTTCATAGGGTTTAGGGTTAGGGTTGCGAGTTAACCCCAGAATTGGAACATTGGTTAAGGATTATTGGTGCCAGGATTCCCTATACATTACTTGAAGGGAATGAGGAATGTTCAAACTTTCTGGCTTCTATTGTAAGGTCTCGGGCTGCTTCACCCCGGCAGCGAAACCCTAACTACAGGCCTAAACCTTACTTGCTCGACTCGGCTGAGGCAAAGACTGGGAACACCATCTATGACTCTGCTCATCTATTTCGTCCATGCCCTACCCGCCAGAACGAGTGCGGTTTATGTCAAGGCAAGGGAAAGAGAGAATTTAGGAGTTGGGTGGGTTCCGGGTTTAGTATTTAGGATTCACCGGTAAGGTTTGTCAGGGGAAGGCGTTCTCAGCATACCGCCGCAGCCCTCGGTGCCAGGCAGGCCCCTTAACTCTGCGCCATGTAAAACCCCCACAGAGCCCCCTCCGACCACAAATCACCCCCGAGAACCCTAAACCGCCCAATAATGTAGGAACCTGATTAAGAAACCCTGGGCCTATAACCCCGAAATAGTGGGATTCATATAAGGAATCCTGATAAAGGCCCAAAGTATCCCAATCAGGTTCCTACAATAACTCACAGACAATCGCAGAACCTCATGGCACACAAGGGCCCCCACCCCCAAAACCCCCTTCCCAGAGACTCCAATATCCCTTAGTTAAGGAATATCCTTAAATTATAGTAGGATCCCTTATATGATTTCAGGAATTTTCCTTAATTAAGGGGTATTGGGCTCTCTGGGCCCCCTTGATGACTCCCAGGGTCCCTCTCTCCGTGGCCCCCGGGAAGACGTAGATCCTCAAGTTTACGGCTCGTCGGCTTCTGCGGTTTGGGGGTTTTGCGTCGTGGTAGCTTCCAACTCAACCACTACTACGAAGAACCAACTTACTGTAGGAGCCTGCTTTAGAAATTTTAGAACCCCTGACCCCATCACCCCAACGTATTCTGGGTTTATATCAAGAAACTCAAAACAAAAATCTAGGGTTCCCGAATCAGGCTCCGACGGTTGATGATATCAATCCTGCAGTCCCCAAAATGAGGAATATACCAAACTTCCGATAGTTTAGGGTCATGGAGGTACTGCAGGACATATATCATCAACCCTAAACCCTAAACCCTAAAACCCTTCAGATCCCTTAAAGGAACCCCTTAAAGGTGCCCTTATAGATCCCTTTAAAGGAACCCTGGGATCTAGATCATCAGCCGTTCGTTAGCTTGGTGCATCTTCCGGGATCCTGGGTTTCGACTCTTCAGGCTTCACGACAACTGGGTCCAACCAGCCGCGCTTGGGTTTAGAGTTTAGGGTTTAGGGGTTTAGGGTTTAGGGTTCATTCAGGCCAACCTCATGACCATAATAGTACGGGCCTTCAATAATAAATAGAATAGGGCTTTAATGATATAAGGGAAGTCCCAAAATAGTATAGGTAAGTATTCAGGCCCCTATGTTAATCCCATTGCGTTGCGCATGCAGGGTTCGCGAGAAGCAGCCCCAGATGAAACGAACGTCGCGGTTGTACTGCCGAGCCATCGAAAATCACTTTGCCGCCCTCGTAAATAGGAACTTCTAAACCTTCAGAAGATGAAATCCCAACCGTACACCAAATGCGCGAGATCTTAAACACTGGCCCCCAAAACGGCCTATGAAGCAAGATGCCACATGTCGTAACCCCAAACCCCGATGTCGTACAAAGGCAGGTTCATCTCAGAAGTGGTAGAAGATGCCGAGGCCATGAAACCGATATTTCCCAAGAGACAGTTTAGGCCAATGCTCTCGCAACTCGAGCAGAGCCGGAAGGTTGTGGATGGTCACTTTGGGAGAAATCCGGTAAATGACAACTTCGGATATGCACCACCGACTTCCACGTTTCAATTCCGATGGCCGGGAGCTGATCAACAATCCTGAACCCAGAATTACCTGTAGCCGAAAAGATCTACCTTTTTAAGGTTCCTTATTAGGGTTTCTATATATAGTTCCTTAAAGAGGTAGGTTTTTTGGGCCAAAGGTAGGTCCTAAACTTCCAAACCAACGACCAGCCTTACAGATGCTGTATGCAGGTCTCAGGGGCTACTTGAACTCCCAGGGTAAAAGGAGGGACCCTTAATAAGGACCCCTAGGTATATACCCTTAATATAGCTATTAATTATATACCCGTTATATAGCCCATTATAGGGTAGGGGTCCCCATTAAGGGTCCCTGCTTTCCCCTTTGGAAAACCCTGAGTCCCCAATAGAATAAGTTGCGGTCAGGAATCCGCATCCTGAACCTCAAACAGCAAACCCGCGAGCCCTTTTTGAAGCAGGGCTCAACAGCTATGCTTGCCCCTCCAACCCATGAGCCCTAATAACGCACATCCTTACTTGTAAGAGCTACGGTTTAGGTCAGTGTAGGCTTGAGGGTTTGAGGTTACGCCCGAACCCTACCAACAAATCGATGAGAAGCAATTCAAAGTATAGGGTACAAATCCTGAAATAGTGGGCTAAGCCTCATGACCAGCTCAAATTCGAAGGTTAAGTGTTCAGACACAGTGATAAGAGGTAACAACCCATCAAACCAACAAAGAAACACACGCCAATATCGTTTAGGTCCTCGACTCTAAACCCCAAACCCCTGAACCCTAAGCCCCGACCCCTAATGCCCTAAACCCAAGTGAACCCTGGTGTGTTGGTCCACAGTCAAGCAGCAGCTGCACCGGGGAGTCTTTCGGCTGTGGCTCGGAGAGGGCACCTGGTTTTGGGTCGGTCTAGGAGTGTATTTTTTTTTTTTTGAACGCCTTTTCTGCACCGAAGAAAAGGAAGGAGTTTAGGGTTCAGGGGTTCGGGGTTTAGGTTTTTAGGTTTTCGGGTCGGGGGCGTTTACAGTAAACCCCATAAAGTTGGAAACCGGATTAATGCCAAATAGTGCTGGGATTCCCTAGACATTGCTCTTAAGGATTGGGGCTATGAGGTTTCCGACTTTTGGGCTTCTACTGTAGACCAAGTTCAGGGTTCAGAGCTTCGAGTCTAGATGACTCCAGGGTCTCCCGGGACAGTTGCACCAGTGTTGAAAACCTGATGGGGGGCCAAATAGGGTTTAGGGTTTATAGGGTTTTAGGGGTGTAGGGTTTAGGGTTTATAAGGTTTTAGGAGTGTAGGGTTTAGGGTTTAGGGTTTAGGGTTTATAGGGTTTAGGGTGTAGGGTTTAGGGTTTATAGGGTTTAGGGCTGGGGTAGGGATTCCTTAATATGAACCTACCTGATGGGGGACTGGTAGTAATAGTAGTTATACTTGTACCCCATTCCTCCAGTCTCTACGAACCAAAGGTCTGAAAAGGGACCGTTATTTAGAGAACCTGTGATGGTAGGCCAAAAGGGGGGTTTAAGATTCTTGGGGTTGGGATTCCTTAATATGAACCCTATTATGGGAATCCTGTGAAAACCGGTGCAATCAGAACAGCGCTTTGCGGCATTGCCTTCGCAGGCTTATGGACGGACAAACATGTTTCAGACCTCGATCCTTTAAACCCTTAAACCCAGAACCCGAGAAGCAATATGTAATAACCCTTGCCTACAAGTTCAAGAAATGAGTGCCGCAACTGGGCATAGTCAGGTATAGCTACCTTACTCATAACCCTACTTGCCTCGCCCCTGTATCCTTCAAGTATAGGAACCAGAGATCAGGGAATATACCTTGAATTATCAAAGGAACCCTGTACGGTTGCTTGATTAAGATATATTCCTGAATCAATGGGTCTGGGTTTCAATTTCTAGGCAACGGGACGCTGACTCCAGCCGGCGGGAGTCACGACTCGTCAAAACTCAGCCCGACATGCGCTAGGCAAAACTCAGGAGTAGGGATTATACGAAGGGTCTAACAGCCTGACAACAAGATCCGGTTTCGGGCTTCGGGCAGTTTTCCCCAACACTCGCATCAACAATCCTAAAACCACACCCCGGAAAACTTATGAAGTCAAAATATTGAAGCCCTGGGCCCTGAACCCTTGCACTCTGAACCCTGCATCGGAAACCTGAGGCCCAGGTGGCGTAACACCCCAACCCTTAACCATGGTAGTTCCAAACATTGTACTCAATGGGATATAGAAGCCCTGATGTCGAAGAAGCCCCTGTCACACGCTCCTAAATCCCAAGCCCTTTATGTGACCACCTCAACATCCTAGCAAAGCACCCCCACAAGCGCAGAAAGCCATCTGTCAAAAGCAAAATTAAAAGAAAAACGAAAGGGGCAAGAAAATCTAGATCTGGAGAGTCGCCTCCATGGTGTAAGACGATCTGAGCACCCTCGCTTCTCTGCATCCATTCCAATCGCTTTGTCTGGTGGCACAAGCGGCGTCTTAAAGTGTCTTAGCGTTGGGTTTGGGGGTTGAAGCTTCTTTTTACACGCCGTAGCAGACTACTAAGGGCTCTAGCAGATCAAGGCGATTACACACTCACGACTCGGACAATCCAGGCGAGGTTTATCGGGCTCGGTCGGCGTGAGACAAGCGACGCTTCCCGCCAGTGCGATTAGGGTTCAAGGTTGAGCGAGGACGATTCAGTAGCACACGGTTTCAGGTCAAAGATTACGTGTTTCGGGATTCTCATCTCCGCAGTACTTGTTTGTGGACGTCTGTCAAAGGCTATTGCCACTGTCGCCAGCAGAGTTCTGCAGCATTTTTGCACAAGGAACAGCGGCAGCAGTCGTCGTTGGTATTAACATTAATTAAATTATAGGATTTAGGTAGAAGTCTCCGGCGGCATAGTAGTAGAACTACTAAGAGTAGCGTCGCAGTAGCAGTGGCAGTAGCACCGGGCATGGTCATTGGTTGATGTCTTCACGGCCCTCCAGTGAGACATGCGCGACGATGCCTCAAACACATTCCGGCTTCAGGCGGCTGCGGATAGTCACGGGCTTTCAAGAAATTAATTCACAGCCTCTCTCTCTTTCTCTCTTTCTCTTTCTCTTTCTCTTTCTCTTTCTCTCTCTCTCTCTCTCTCTCTCTCTCTCTCTCTCTCTCTCTCTCTCTCTCTCTCTCTCTCTCTCTCTCTCTCTCTCTCTCTCCCTCTCAGGGGACACGGGACGTTCCTGATGAGCCCTCTCTCCCGCGCCATTTTAGGTACACACGTACTGTAGCCTGCAAGCCTGTGACATGAAGTGAGAATGCAGCTAGTGATTGATTCGATCACCACGCTCATCGACATTCCGATCCTTGAATGTCTGGAAGAGGAACTATGCATAATCTCGCCTCCTGCTGACAACTGAGTAAAGCCTAACGTCTACTTTAGAGCGGCAAGTCTAGGCTTTACAGATCTTGACGTCTCGAAACCAACTGGCTGTGAAGGGGTGGACAGTGCCACATTACGATTTCAATTGATGCCTGTTTGGAGAGAACCATTTTGTTGCAACAGGCTTCGCACTTCGCCTCGGGCCGGCTCTGACATCAGTTGTAGCAGCATGACAGCTCTCAGATTTGGAGAGAACCTAAACCCTCAACCCTGTTCCCGTCATGTGGGAACCTGATTAAGAAACCCTGGTCCTATAACCCTACAATAGCAGGATTCACGAAAGGAGCCCTAATAAAGACCCAAGGGTTCTTAATCCGGTCCCTATACTAAACCCTATACACTATGACAAAGCCGGGAGTAGTGCACAGCAACCGGAGCCAGCCTTCCAATACGTCGGCGTCCTTGGCGGAGCGGGTCTAAGAAGGGAGGAACAGCACATGAACAAATAAAAGACAAGACTAAAGGCAACATCTACAATAAAGGAATATATATATATATATATATACACATATATATATAACCGATCACAGTGGTATATACATATTCGGGGGCATATACTATCTAGTCACACACTAGTAATTATACATATATATATATATGTACATATATATATGGTTATATATATATATATATATATATATATATGGTTATATATACATATGATTCTACATTTCTGTAACTATATATATATACACACGTCGACAGAAACGCAGAGACAGACGGGTTCAAATATGTTCAGTGGAGCCTTCCTTCTCGTACGAGGCTGGCCATCTAGGCCTGGCCCTAAGGGTCCATGTACCCAAACAGTATATCTAGGTGGGGCTTTTAAAGCCTTTGAAAAATGTTGGTAAATTAGATCTCCTTAGGCCCAATAAGGGAAAATATAAAATGTCCCAAAGCCCTACCTAGTATATACTTTGGGCCCAATGTACCCATATAGGGAGTACTTTAAGGCCAAAGTATATACTATTTGGGTACATGGACCCTTAGGGTGGGGTCTTGAAGGGCAGGTGGCTAAGATAAAACAGGCCCTAACCGGGGTGCCTATATACGATGAAACAGCTAATCCCGAATATGAGGGGCTGCATATATGTGGAGTATGTAGGGCATGAGGACATATTCTAGAAAACCAACTTTAAGCAAGTACAAGTACCAACCATTTCTAAGCCGTTCAAAATGAAGAGCCCACGATCCGCAGCCAGGATTCCAGTGGAATGCAGGAGAGTCCTTCGGCACGACGACTTGCAAGCTGTACCTTTCAGAACACCCTTTAGAGGTTCCATTGAGCAATCCATTGTCGAGGTTCTCACTATAAGGGACCTACGTTCTAGGTCCAAGATCCCTGAGTAAGGGATCCCAGAACTCTGAAACCACAACCCTTTTCAAGGGGCTTCTGAAGTCACCGCCTGAAAAAGAACCTGCAAGTTACGACCCTAAAAATTATTGAAACCCTATTATATAATTCAGCCTCAAACTTTTGCTTCGCGTTTGACCTCCAAGGGTTCAGAGGACAAGCCCGGGTTCAGCCCAGCAGCTCGTCCAGCAAGAGCTCCAATCTGGCGTACATCAGCTGTCTGGCTTTCAGCGCCTGTAGGGTTTAGGAACCCTACTTAGCCGCCCTTATAACCGGAACTAAGCATGATCTTCTTACTGATCCCCTTAGTAAGTTGTATTATGAAACAATGAAACATACTTCCTTATTCATCCCCTTAGTAAGTTATGTTATGAAACAATGAAACATACTTTCTGAGAGCAGCCAACCCTAAGCTGGACTCCAAAAGGGACTCTTATTTGGAGAACTACCCATACAGTACCCTTATAGATCCCGTTAAGGCGCCCTTAGGCCAGGAAGGGTCCCCCAGCGACTTTGCAGAACATGTGCTTGCAAACCCTCGTCCGTCACATGCCGCACTGGTCAAACGTTTCGGCTGGGTTGAAAGGGCTGCAGGTTGAGGGCTCGCAGACCTCCGTGCATCCTAAGACTGTTGAAAGCGGCCCTGAGCCTGCTCTTTGGTCGTGCTGAAAATCGACGACATCAGCCACTCGTCGTAAGCCTCCGAAGGATCCAACTTTCATGCAATCACCTACTTGGAGGGTGGGGGACCTAGTAAGTAGGTAGGAAGTAGACTTATAAGTACACTAAAAGGGACTCTAATTGGGGTTATGGTCCTCATAAGTCCCTAAAATAACCAGTTACTAAGTCCCCCGACCCTCCAAGTAGCCTTCTCGACCTCTGCACAGTCTACTCTGAATCTTGGCCCCCGCCTCTCGCGGCAGCGTGATTCTCGTCGCTCCGGATTGCACTTTTGCCTCTTTCACGAAGCCACCCTGGCAGGAGTCCAGTCACTATTGTGGCAGATGCTATAGTATAGGGACTTAGGGTTTTAAGGTTTAGGTTTTGTTCAACGAAGCTCTATAGGTTCAGGGTACAAGAATGGGCTTCCAGGTGGAGGGACAAAGTCTCGGCACAGTTGGGCCCTGAAGGGCCGTGGATGTCTCGCAGCGGATCCTGAATCCTCAACCCTGAACCTCGGGTAATCAGCCCAGAAGAGGCAGCATGTAGAGATAGTTTAAGCGCCAAAGCAGGACCTTCATACACTCTAAACTCTGAACTCGAACCCCCTAATATCGGGGCCTTAATGATTAGAATAGGGTCTTGTGGCCCGTTATACTATAAACATAACAAGGAACCCCACAACAGTATCGGTACCCTATATTATTCACGGACATCTGTCTGTCAGAGAAGCGAGTCGAACGAGCCTGGTGGCACGTTGGCCAATCTCAGAACTGCCCCTATTTTAAACATTAAAGGACATGCAAAACTAGGAGGTGCTTTCAAAGCCTTTGAAAAATATTAGTAGGTAAGATCCTCTTAAGCACAGTAAGAGCAAATATAAAATATCCCAAAGCCCTACACACAAAACACTCTCTAAAAGCCCGAACATCATCGGCTCATGGCCTGGCGACCGTGTAAGCCGGCCAACAGGTTCGTGCTTCCTGCGACCGCAGCTCAGGCCGAACGGTACCCAGAGAGGCCAATACCCGTTAATTGAGGAGTATGGAGTATGGCTTAAATCACAATATGAAGGCCTACATAATTTAAGCCGTATTCCTTAATTAAGGGGTATTGGGCTCTATGGGTGACAACAACTTCTTGCTCAGTGTTTACGGCTTCCTTTTGAAAAGGCTCCATTAGAAAGGATTTGTAAGGACGGGCTTCAGGATAGGGTTTTCAATTTGGGGCTTAGGCTGTAGAATTAAATCAGGAAGTTTTTTTAAGTATAAGTGGAGGTGTTCACTCAAAAAAAGGCAGGAAGCCTTCTGTAAGCAAGGCAGGTGAAAATTAGACAATAGCTTTGACTGCTGAAAAATTCCAAGCGCAAAGGATTCTAGACACACAACAAAAAGGAGGCAAACTGAGTATAAGTATATGATGCAGGCTGTGCTGAACCATGGGGTGATTTGAGCTCCAGCGGAGGTTCAATCCTTGGCCGTACGAGACTGTACGCAAACCAGATTGTAACCAGATCCAACATGTGGGAGTTTCCGAAAACAGGGGACTCTAATATCGTACCCTAAATAGTAGGATCCTTATCATAAGGACCCCCAAAATAAGGCACCCCTCATTTTCGGAAACTCCCATGTGTCACGTCAACTACCAGCCCTAAAGCTGTGTGTTCTCGCTCTCGTGCCACACTTCGTAGTCATTATTTCCTTTGGTTTTGCAGTTGATGCGCCTTTGGAAACCAACGGTTAAAATATTGGATAAGGGTTTCGGGGTATATTATGCCATGATTGTATTCTGTCGTAGGTAATTGTTTGAGCCCCTATATTTGACCTTACACTCCCCAAGACCCGCTAATTCAGTTTTTCGGAGCTTAATTAGGTGCTGGATTGCTCTTGCTTGGGCGCGCCCACAGTGAATTGTCTAGCCTTTCTAGTTAAGCTTCTTGTTGGACATCTAACATCTGAGCCTTCCATGCTATCCGTGCTGCCCTGGTAAAGGCAGGAGGGTAGGAACACAAAGGCCCCCAAACCACAACTAACCAAGAAAAGCCCTTCAATCAGCCGCAAGATCAAGCTCTTGAAAAGCCATGATCCACGCTAAGCCCCTTTACCCTCAACCCTCAAGCCTTCTCCGTATAGTCTCCATTGTAGTTCCTTTTTTCGGTTAACCAAAAACTATATTATAGGATTCTAACCATAAAACTGGTTAACAAGAAAAGGAACTACAATGGAGACTAAAGGTAGTTGCCCTTATTATCTAGCCCTAAATCTCGAGGATAAGTCTAGGGCTGGTACTATTCCCCTACAGTAGCCAATGCTGACTTGAGGGGTGCGGCTCAACTACTGGCAGCTGAGATGCCAGGAAGAGCAAACTCCCCATGAAATCACGCGACCATGTAACAATGTAATGTAGAGGCCTTAAGAAACAGAATAGGAATAGGGTTTTGGGGGCACCGTATTATTAGTACAGTTTATGATATACCCCCAAATCCCACTCTGATTATTAAGGAAGTCATACAACCGTACTATAGATCCCTTCCAGATCCCTCTTACAGGACCCCCATAAAGGAACCCTCTAAATTCGCGGCTATTCGGGTTTCGGCGCTCACTCTCGGATTTGGGGCTCAGGGTTTGCGCGCTGAGGACCGAAGAGGGACTCCCCAAACACCCCAATACCCCTTAAATTAAGGATTATACCTTAAATCATTACGGGCCCTAATATTACTAGTTAAGGTGCGTTCATTAATTGAGTGTGATTGGGTTCTCTGGTCCTAGGTCAAGAGACATTTATGCAGAGGCTTAATATAGGGGCCTTAATAATTACAATAGTATTTCGAGGCCCGCTGTACTATAATCATAATCCCCAAAATAGTATATAGGTAATTATTTAAGCCGTTCTCTCTCTCTCTCTCTCTCTCTCTCTCTGCCGTTGCATATGTAGGCCTTCAGGCCCCTATATTAAGGGCTACACTATCGGCTCTTTCCTGGGAAGTAGAGCCGGGCCGTGGGCTCTTTGATGCGAGAGATGTCCTGCAAAGGTGGTTGTCTTGCCTTTGGTTAGTAGGGAATGGAGGAGTGGGGTACAAGCATAGCTACTATTACTACCATTCTTCCATTCCCTACTAACCAAAGGTAAGTTGTAGGAAGCAGGGGTTCAGTGTTTAGGGTTTAGGGATTCCGTGTTTACAGCCTTGGGTTTATCCATGAAATTTACAAGCACTAGCCCTCTGCATAGCTGATGATGCCAAAAGCCAAGACACATACATAGGGGCCTTAAACCTTGCAATGGAGCTTTGGGGTATATGAAGGTTTATGATAGTATTCAGGAACCCTATAAGGCATGCTATTGCTGACGGTTCGGGCTTCTATGTAGACCCGGCAAAATGTGATAAACCCCAAACCCCAAAACCTCAAGACTCAGGTTCATAATACAAGTTTGTTGTTCTTTGTTGAAGAAAGGGGCTGGTTAAACACTGCTCAACATCAGATTAGCTTCCTACGACCCTACCTTGCTTTAGGACGTGGAGTTCGGGCCTCTGCCACAGCCGTCCCGAAGACGAAGCGACAAACGAACATCTGCTAAGGGTTTTGACTGTTTTCATATCTGGTGAGGTTTACGCTCTCGCAACTCGAACATGCCAGGCATGCCTCTGGCAAAGTTTAGGGTTTAAGGGTTTGGGTTCTAGCGTTCTGGGGCTGAACATAGGAGGCTGACTAAACACGTCAGGAGACTCGAGTTTGAGGTCTTCTGGAGCTGGAGATATTGTTTCCGGAATTCTAGGTCACGGGGAGGAGCTAGATCGGGATGCAGGGCAGGGCTGCTCTATTATAATCTAGCCTGATATCGGGGTCGGAACCACTTACAGTAGCACTTCCGGATAAGCCATATACAATGATCACAGACCAAACTGGTTTACCAAAAAGACCCTGTTCTGATTATCAAGGTCCCACAAGTGAAACTTCTCCGACCCCCTTCAAGCTAAGTCGGAGATTCCCGTTCAGAAAGGATGTTACACTAGTCTCAGTCTCGCGGTTCCTATGTGTTCAACAATGGCTGTGTAATCATGGATCTACAGTAGAAAGTTGCGAGTGCTGCACAGCTGTGGAAGTCTCAAATGGCTTAGTAGAAGGGTCGTGGACAACTTCTTGAAATCAAGACAGCCACAAACCTCAATGCCAAACTGCTGAACTTCGTTTAAAGGCGTCCTTGAGGCCCAAAGCTTCGCAAAGCCAGGATTTCTTGTGCGACTTGAAGAACATCTGCATGCCTGTGTGGCAGCGGCCGGTGCAGATTCAGTGTCTAAACCATACCGCCAGCGCTCATACCGCCTCTCCAACCCCAAATTGCTGGCAACTAGTAGTCGTCGTCGTCATCGTAGTGGTCGTGGTCGTGGTCACGATAGTGGTAGTAGTAGTAGTAGTCGTCGTCGTGGTAGTGGTCGTGGTAGTGGTAGCAGTAGTGGTACTGGCAGTGGTTGTGGTCGTCGTCGTAGTAGTATGAATAAACTTTAGCCAAAGAGCTGGGAGGCCACAAAGGCCGGCAGACGCCAAAATTGGACC